TTTTCTGATTTCTTTCGGCGTAACTCGCATATCAACACTGATTCTTTAATTCGTACCTTTATGCAGAATTTAATATTTCGACAGTGTAGCCACAAACTTTTTTTTTCGTTATCTCAGTGCAGAATTTTAGGAAGCCCATGCATGCAAAAGACATAAGCCATTTTATTTTTGATATTGAGATAATCAAATGTTGCATATATTAAGCTCCAAACACGTCATAGAGGCTCCCTCAAGTCTACCGATTCCGATTCTGACCATGAATTCAATTGTTATATTCTCGTCCATTTTCTGATATTTTTCGCCATAACCGATTGAAATCGCGCCTCGCCAGTTTTCCTCTCATATCTGAATGCTGAAAATTAATATTTCTACAGCGTGTAGCCACAAACTTTTCTGTCGTAAACTCGGTGCAGAATTTTATTATGCCCATGCAAAAGAAAAAAATTAACATAAAAGCCATTTTATGATAAAATCAGCATATGTTGCATAAACTCCAACGACGTTAGAGGCTCCGTCAAGTCTACCGTTGTCATAAATTCAGTGCAGAATTTTATTATACCCATGCAAAAGACAAAAACAACAAAAAAAAACAATATAAAAGCCATTTTATCTTAAAATTAGCATAATTCTACCAATGTCGTAACCTTAGTGCATAATTATATTATGCCCATGCAGAAGACAAAAACAAAACAAAACAAAAAAGCCATTTTATTTTAAGATTAGCATAATTCTGTTGCATAAACTACAACGACGTTAGAGGCTTTGTTAACTCCACCAATAGTCCCAACTGGTTGTATGCTTGAGTAGCCATCCATGCAGCACCAGATGTGCGCTTCCTGATAGGCCTACAAGTCTTGTCGAGGTAGCAACAAGTTCAACTGCAGGTTGTGTGATTTTCTTTGTGAAAAACACTGGGTAATGGGTGCAGGGTAAAGGGAGGGGTAATGTGCAGTTCAATTATGATTAGGCCTAAGTCACTGTAAACACAAGAAAATATGCCAGCCCGACCACTCTGCGTTTGTAACTCAACAAACGCGAACCTCTAGTATTTTCTTTAATTTGGGTCCAGATCATTCTGACTCGCCCCATAGTAATGCGTTATTCGGCAAACTTGGAAACATGAGCCAGATAAATCCAGTTGGTTTGTTTGGCAGTACTACGATTAATTGGAAATTAATTAAAACTTTAATACATCACAACTCATTACTGGTATTTGGTGGGGGTTTTTGTGCATCGATATATACCTGCATAATGAATCCAGCTCAAAATTGATCCGCTATTTAATGCGTTACAATGTATTAAAACTGTCATATCAAAAACAAACATCTACTAGAGATTCGCGATATGCGTTTGTTGTTACAAACGCAGAGTGGTCGGGTAGACAACTATTTTATGAAACACTGTCCAGTTAAGTTATGAATATTTTTTATTTAAGAACAAAGTATCAGGAAATTAAATCCTTTCCAGGACAATCAATTAAGTTTCAGTAAACATTCCATGTACACATACAAGTTATTTCTGGCTTGATAACGTCATTAGTCAAAACTACGGGAAGTGAATACTGATTTAGTTCGGAGTGGATGTTCATTGTGAAGTTAAATAACGTATGAAAATTTTGAAAATATAAGTGTATGTATTCTTCTGGTTTGAAGACGTCACGGTGTTCGGAAGCAAAAGGTGAACATTGTAATGGTATCGTTATTTGGGTTAAGATATACGACATGGATCAAATGATAGAATTAAATTTAGAATACGATCGTTGGCAAATTCTCATAAAAGTAACTTCCAGTCTGATGACGTCATGAATTTGAAACCTTGCCAAGTTATCTGTGGTTAATCAAAGAATATCAAGGGTCGATTTGGTAAAATTTGAACCCATGGTTTTAAAAGTAAAGGAAAGAAACAATATTTCATGTGCCGCTAGGGGGCGCCCTTTTGGATGATGACGTCATCACACTGTTTTTTTGTGTCTGGCATTCCTCACTAAACACTTTCATAATATATGTGTCTGTTGTAAAATGCTTGAACTGCTTTTGAGTTGGTACAAGTGCACACAAGGTTTTGTGCTCAGACCGTGAACCGTTTGGAAGAAATGTTGCTTTGTTTTGATGTCAGGCTAACGTCTTCAATTTGAATTCACCTAACTTTGACCTTCCGGTAGACCCGGAAGTAAAGGTCAAGCGAGTTCACGTACCCGACAAAAAATGTTTAGCGATTAATGGTCTATCTGATTACAGAATACAAACATCATTGATTGTTTAGTTCAAGAGTTTTAGGTGAAAGTAATTGGTCACTTTTTCAGATAAAATCACTTGTAATTTGACACCTGTTGACGTAATCATGACGTCAGAGTAATATGCACCACTTCGGATGAGGGTCGATATATATTGAAAGTTCATACCATATACCGTTTAAGAGAAAATCCGCGGAGAAGTATTGTCCGGGGGGGATTAATCGCAACAAATCCAAAGAGTGGTCAATAATATGTTCACTAAGTTTTAACAGTGTGGGAATGGATCTTTACTTACAATATGTGTGATTTCCTTTTAATAATAATAATCAGGGCACTTATATAGCGTTCTTACACAAACTGGTATCACAACGCTTTACACAAGAAAACAATTAAAGTGTATAATACAAAATGATGAAAGGAAATAATAACAACCTATGGGGCAATTAAGTCTGGAAGAGATGTGTTTTCAGCAATGTTTTGAAATCAGTGAGGGAAGTGGCATGACGGATTTCATAAGGAAGATTATTCCAGAGGTTTGGAGCAGCTGCATAAAAAACTTTTTCTGAGATTGAAGAACGAGTTTTGGGCTTAATGAGGATTCTGGTATCGGAACTGGAACGCAGGGTACGATTCGGCTGGTACGGGGTGATGAGTTCAGTGAGATAAGACGGAGCACTGTCACTCAAACAATTATAAGTGATTGTTAATAACTTGAAAATGATTCGTTCATTGATAGGAAGCCAGTGAAGTCGTTGAAGAAGAGGCGAAACATGGTCTGACTTTTTTGCCATAAAAATGAGTTTGGCTAGCTGCTCTGTTTTGGAGTCGTTGTATGCGTTTGATGTCTTTGCTGGGTAATCCTTGAAGAAGAGAGTTGCTATAGTCAAATCGAGATGTGACAAGAGCTCGCACAACATGATGGCATGTGGTTTCATCAATTAGGCTACGAATGCGAGACAAGCTCCTAAGATGAAAATTGACCGTTTTACAAAGTGTGGAAATATGTTGAGACATACTCATGGCAGAATCGAACACAACACCCAAATTCCTTATAGTAGGGGATGGTTTGATTATGGTATCTTCAAGCGTGAGAGAGACTGCGGGTAACAGTTGACTTATTCTTGGTTGTGCAGCGACAAACAATTCCGTTTTTGCATGGTTGAGGAGAAGCATGTTTTGGCACATCCACTTGTTGATGTCCGAGATACAGGTTGTTAAAACGGTGAGAGATTGCTCTATATCACCAGGCTTTCGGGGATCAGTGCAAACATACAGTTGAATGTCGTCAGCATAAAAATGAAAACTGACACTCGGGTGTTGTCCGATTATGTCTGACAATGGGTAAATATACAAGGAAAATAGCTGCGGTCCAACACAGGAACCTTGAGGTAAACCATAGGTAAGCAATCTGGAACCAGAGTAACCATTAGCTATCTTAACCATACACGTTCTGTTTGTAACGTAAGTCTTAAACCAGTTAATGACATTCTTACTAAATCCAAAGACATCTGACAATCTGCCCAACAAAATACTGTGATCGATAGTGTCAAACGCAGCTGACAGGTCTAGCAACACCACCAGGACAGCCTGTTGATTGTCAATAGCATGCATAATATCACTTTTGACCCTCAACAAAGCTGTCTCGGTGCTATGGCCAGACCTGTAGGCTGATTGAAATTTACAATACAAGTTATTATTCTCAATATGTTCAGTGACACGTTTTAAAACAGCTTTCTCAATTACTTTAGAAAGAACAGCAATATTAGATACTGGTCTGTAGTTTTTCAAAACGTCCTTGTCCAAGGAAGTACTTTTCAGTAGTGGTGAGACTACCGCATGTTTGAGAGTTTCTGGGAAGATTCCTGTAGACAGTGATGTGTTGACAATGGATTGGATGGCTGGAGCAATCGTGCACAGGTTTTGCTTAAGAAGCCATGTGGGAAGTGGATCTATCATACAAGATTTATTGTTTGAGTTCATGATGATTTTACGCAATTCGTTGTGGTCAGCCACGACGTATCATGATACGATTCGATAACTCCTCCTTTAAAATTAATTATAATTTTCTGCCTTCCTTAATTTGACAGAAAGTAGTGTTTTAATCGTATAGAAATACTGTCTTGTAAACACACGAGACTGTTATGTCTTCAAAAGGGTGGTCTAACAATAACTCTACTGGAAAAAATAGTATTAAATGTACATTATAGGTTCATTGTTTGTTTGTTTTTTGTGCATTTTTTTCATATGAATCTACAAATTTTCTCACCTCAGCGGATAGTATACATTTTTAGAAAACAGTGGAAACGTGCATGTCAAGGCCGGAACCAGACAGGTTACTGCCGGGGCTGAGGCTGTACAAGCATTACATTCACTGTGTGGACTTCCGAACAAAAGAGGTCCACATAAGCCAGGTAGCAGCGACTTTGTGTGGACTTGCCCGCGTCCACACAGGTTTCCCCCTCTCTGGGAAAACAGGGTTAGAGGCATTTTTTCTGTATCAAAATAAAGAGCAACACTAAAGGGAATCGTAGGGGGAAAAATGTGTTGAAAGAGTTTTCCAAGTGTGAGTAAACTGATTTTTTTCACAGGTTTTGCTTAACTACACGAAAACAAAGGAATGTCAACACTATAGGTATGAAAAAAAAATCACATTTGATATTTTGCTTTATTTGAGAAAAGTTCGGTCACTACCGGGGTTTGGGGGGTTTGGCGGCCCCTCCGCAACCCTGGATCCGCCACTGCATGTGCACCATTTAGGAGGGGGGGGGGGGGGGGGCTCGTAACTGGATTCCGTTATTGATGCATGTAAAATATGTGCCCTTGGGCACACTTTTTAAAGCTGCCTTCTAATGATTGTTTCCTTTTTGAACGATACCATGTTTGACAGAATATGGCACCATACCCATCTTTACCTTTAGCAAGGTTTTTTCTAATTAAATTGGTAAGTCCATTTTTAGGTAATTACCAAGTTCCTTGGTGAGTCCGATTTCAGGTAATTACCAAGTTCCTTTACGTGCCTTTAAGATTTATGTAATGTTAACATTTTTAGTGACAGGTACTTTAAATTTAACCGGAAGACAAAGATTTTCTCAAAATTGAGGGCAGCACACGGCACCCTTCCCAAAGTCACTCGGCATTTGTCTGCTGCATCTAGGGACGCACGAAGAATGGCTTGAAAGTCCTGGACTCTGGCAATGGAGGAACCTGAGTGAGAAAAAAAAAGGTTTTCTTTTTTAAAACAGTAGCAGGTGTAGCGCCAGATGAAGATTCCACTTCAGTGAATCGGCTTTTTTATTACCACCAGGAAAAAAGGTTAATGTTAATCACAGTGGAAGAGCCCCTATACCTTGCATTAAAATATCCGGTTAAACTACTGACTCTTGTTTGTCAATCGAAACAAATATTCTACCTGTTTAGTGAACTGGTCTTGGCATGCCATGCGGATTCTCTCTGCCGTGGCTGGGCTGTCTAGACGGAATGCTCGAGGGATGCCAGCATCCTCCCTGGCTGATTGAACGGCATCCTTGATGGCGAAGAAGATGGAAGCTGCGAGAAACAAGGGAGGTTCTCCCACAGCCTGCGAGAAAAAAAAAGCAGATGCCCCTCCATTTCAATGAAGTTTCTTTCACGGTTCCATAATATTTAAAATAGACTGGTACCCATCGTGGACCCTTTCTGTCTGTAAATCAAACAGTGCAAACTGACCAATTGGACAACGACTTTTGGTCAGGTGACCTAGTTCAGTCAAACTCGGTCACGTGCACTTTAAGAGAAGTACGGAAACCCGAGGTGGGTTGAGTTTATGACCGAATCCGGCGGAATGGTCAATCGGAACATACACAGGGTCTTGCTTCTTAGTTCACTCTTTATCAATTTTTACGAGGTCTCGTTAGATCTCTGAAATTGCTTGGTGAGAAAAATCACAAACTCTGAAACATGCCTTACACTGTTAATGTTACGGACACTTTGGATAGCATCGTCTTTCCTTTTTTTTCATTGGCAGCGTTGGTATAAAAGGTATTGCTATTGACCAATATGGGCACGCTGTGACTTCTATAATAGATGCCCCTTCAATGGTTGCCGGATTCCATCCACTATAGATTGACATGCATGTGCATGATGCGCTGACCTAGTTTTCACAATGGCCAGCAGCGCGCATCCAGAAAAAGGTTATTTGAGTAGGCTGCTTCCGTTTGTTTCTTTGTTCAATTCAGGGGGATTGGGCCGAAGCCAAGATAGGGTTTGGGAGAGTTATAGGCCTACAATGTCAATAGTTTGTTAACTCTTTGTATTCTGTTTCGGATTTTGTTGAAGACAGCTGCATTGACTGAGTTGTGCTGACTCGGGATTAACACAACATTTTTGAGTGTGGAAAACTGTGCCGAGTTTCCCTTGTCGGCGTCTGGCTATAGGGTGACCATATAGTCCTAAGTTGGTTCACGCTACATTTAAGTATTAAGCTTACCTTTGATGAGCAGATGGCGAATGGGTTAGGAGCCCTAGTCAACAGACTGACATTGAACTCGGCCGGTATGTCACCAAAGCTGGGAATCTTGTAGAATCCAGGACCAGTGGTCAGCAGCTGACCAGACGGACTGACCCGATAGTCCTCTAGGACAAACAGGCCATAGCCCTGGACGAAACCACCTTCGATCTAAAAAAGCAATTCGGAGAACAATTTCTAGTTCAATACCAATCAGGAAAAAGATGATTCGTCGTCATTGTTACCATCATTTCAAATGTCGTTGGTATTAATTGACGTCATTTTATATTTCAAGTGGCAACCACTATCATCCTTGTCTTCATATTTTGATTGTCTCTAATGTCTCAACTGTCATTTGTGTCACCCTCAATGCGATTGTCTTTCATAGTCAGTATATTCGCAACCCTGAAGGCAATCTCACTTTGACTTTAAAGAATTACCTGTCCCACATCGATTGCCGGGTTGAGACTGTCACCCACATCCATGACGATGTCGGTCCGTAGCACCTGGTGATCCCCAGTCAAGCAGTCAATCTCTACTTCAGAGACCGCCACACCGTACACGAAGTAGGCGTAAGGTTCTCCTTCGCATGTCTCCCAGTTGAAGTGTACATCACGCGCCTTGCCCAATCCAGTAGATGACAGACTGATGCGGTCTTTGTACGCGGCGTCGACCCAGCTCTCCCAGGTACCTTTGGGATTGTCCTGGATGAAGGGTTCCAGTCGGTGCAAGAGAGTTTCACAGGCCTCCTTGACGGCCATCCCGTTGAGATCGGAGCTGAAGCTTGCTGCCGTGTTGGAGGTGTTCGGCACGCTGCTCGTGCTGGTCTCGCTGACGTGAATCTTCTCCTGAGGAATCCTCAGCGTCCTGCTGGCTACTTGGATCATCTTGGTGTGCAACCCTTGACCCATCTCGGTACCTCCATGGGAAACCAGTACTGAACCATCGTTGTAGATGTGCACCAACGCACCAGCCTATTGGATGATACGGAAGTGGTCCGGTATTGAAAAGAGTCACATAAGTACAGTGACGTGCAAAACTATGCACACTGATAGCACTGTCTTGTGTGGGCCTTATTCACGAGTCGGCCACGAATTGACAGTGAGGTAAAATCTTGATTTTTGGAATTTGTGTAGAGAAATTAAAGCAAGTTAACTACTAATTAATTCCAGTCTGCTTCAATGAATAATTCCAAATCTGTAATTAAACGTTCCCTTATGTTTAAAGCCAGATTAAAAAAAAAAATGACAGTAAAATAAGGCTGCATTATGCCTGCATAAATAGTCTGGCGCCATCCCATTCAACAGTTAACAATTTATGACATACTTTCAGGGAACTCGACCAAAATGGCCAACTCGTGAATTAGGCCCATATGTGTACTTATGAAGTCTTCAACAAATTTTATATTGGTAAGATGCGGACTAGGATATGAAACGTAAACTGAATTTGTATTCATACCTGATTACGGTAGTTCTGGTTGAAGGAAATACCAAACTTGGTGGGTGTGACAGCAAGACCACGCTTCCTCCATCGATTCTTACTGTGAACAAAGCATTAAGTTATCATGAAGGCAGTGGTACTACCATTTCTTCGCGGTACGTTCCATGCAAATTTCGTTTGGACAATGTATGCACACAGTGCCCCACAAAATAATCATAATCGGCAACAATGGTAATCAGCAAAATTGAAAAAGCTGTAAAACACATTGAATCTTCATCAGCAGACTTGGTACTTGGTTTGTGGTCCTCCGAAATATTCCATCTATAGGGAATTTAAACTGGAGGTGTGGTGTAGTGAGAGTGGGCTAGATTAGGTTTTGTCACTAAGAGCTTTCTTAAAGGAGTCTGGGTTGGTAAGCGCCACCGTTGAGCCCGGGAGGTCATTCCAATTTTTCAAGTGTTCTTAGGAAAAATGAAGAGGCAATTGTGTCGGTCCTAGCCTAGTGGATTTGGAACTGTCTATTGTGTCCTCGTTGTGATCTTCAAGTTTTGGGGGTAATGTATTTGGTGTAGTCAATGTCCATTAGTCCATTCAGGAGTTTATAAAAGCAAAAGATGCGATGCTGTTTTCTTCTTTCTTCCAAAGGTGTCCAATCAAGATCTTTCTTGAACTTCGTTTTTAAAAGAAGTTGTGTGGTTAATTTCAATCGGTATATCATTGGTATAGGCCTACATGTCCAGTTTTGGTATTATGGAGGTTTTCTCGCGTGCTGTTCTTCCAGGCGTGCTATTGAAGTTCTTTTCCCGAACATTTTTATCCCAACTAGATTCGTAACTGGACATAATTATGATGTGTTTTAGTCTATAGCCGTCTTCTTCACCTGTTTGTCCTTGACTCATTTGCTTCTTTACCTGTTATACTGATCCACTTCGCGTCTCCGATTGTCGTAGTCACCTTTCGTGAGGCACTCATCCCAACATCGCTCTAGATTCCAATATTTCAACTCCTGGCCATAATGCGTCAGGTCCCCCTCCTGGTAAAAGTTGATGTCTCGCACCTACAAGTATACAGGGTGAGTAAAAAAAAAGCGAAACCCAAACCTCAAAAATTACATTTCATATTTAAAAAAAAAACATACGTAGCACCAAAATTAATAATGACTGGATAGCCAAATTCATAAGCTACTTTCAGAAAAAAAAAATGAAATTGCTCAATCCGTTCAAAGAATATCACCATTTAAACACAATGACCCTAAAACCCGTCTCGTCCAAAAATGCGATTTCAAGAATCGTCGTCACAATTGTCTTCAAACATCACTACCGATAAACCCTCAGTTTAAAAGCTAAAAATATTCAACAAAGTCCTTTTGAAGGCCCATCTTCAACAAAAGTGGATTTTATAAATCCTATTTTTTGCCTAACCAGTGTTGTTAATAAAGATATTGTGTACTACAGTTGTTGAAACAGTATTCTGTGTCATTTTCTTTGTTGTTCCAAATAGTCAAAACACAAAATAGTTTGGGTTTTTTGTTTGGACGAGACAGGTTTTAGGGTCAGTGCGTTTAAATGGTGATTCTTTGAACGGATTGAATATGATATTTAAATAGGGTATCTGATAGGAATAGAGTATGCAAATTACGTGAAATTTTAGTTACATTAGTGAATACGATATGTACTTTATGCCTGTGTTTTCTTGTGTGAAATGAAGCGAGCCACATATTCTTTGAACATTTTTTCTCTAATTCGGGCACTTTCTTTAGACTCACGTATATACACTCGGGTTGTCCACACGCCTGAGATTTTCTTTTGGATGTAAATGGCAGATACGCTGCTACAGCTCCTTTTTTTTATGCTTATCATTACATCACAAAATGTGTTGTCATTCTTTTGTCTATAAGTTGAGTCAGAGCCAAGTATCACGATACATTATTTTCGTATCGCGATACCGCATCGCGATGTATCGCTACATCCTATACTCTATGGTTTGATGCGCACATGTTTTATTTCTTATACCTTGATCTGCGTCAGTCCACATTTCAAGGCGATATCTGACATGATCGTCTCCGCCACCAGCATGGCCTGGGGGCTTCCGAACCCCCGGAATCCCGTGTTGGATGCCAGATTGGTACGGCAGAGGATTCCATTCACGCTGACATTGGGGCATTTATAGCAGTTGTCCATGTGGAACATTGTCCTTTCCAAAACCTGAAAGTAATCAATAATTTCAGACTTTATTTGTGTGCTGAATAAACATCGTTTAGGACAAAGATGTGACCGTCGTAGGCTAATTAAGTTTACAAAAAAAAAATCATGCCATCCAAAAACTGTAAAGGATGTTCACGAATCGATAAAAAAACGTATTTGGACGTATTTAAAGTATCCATTAAAATAAGACCAATGAATATTGAATGATAAACTAAATATTCACGAGAAATTAAATATCCAGCTTGGCCGGCTCATGCGTTGTCGATGTGTAACGTGCCACTAGTCTTCCGGACACGTCAATCACTATGGCCGGGTGCCTCCAACTTAGTTCTGCACGACGTGTGCATCCAAATTGTGCTAAAAAAACCCCATATGTTTCCTAAATATTAAGTTCACATTGCCGGAGCTTCCTGGATTTGTCTTGGGTAAAATCACAAGGTGAGGTGAAAATTGATGTGTTCGGCGGCAGGTAAGTGGTGGCCTAACTAGTATGGAATTCTTCCCGCATATTCTTCCCGCATAAAGAATGTGTTGTATTTTATAACACGCCATCGTTAAAACAAAAATCTTTAACGACATGTGTACAACCGTCACAAAACTATGATCTAGTCTTACATTGACTGAAAAGTCGTAGGTACTCCCAGCGTTGGAGTACATATCGATCTCCAGCGCCCTCAGTTGGCCGTAGCTTGTTACTCCTACTTTGTAACGAGCTAGGTACGGGTGTCGTGTACCTGATGTCATCATGTCTTCATTTCGATCAAGCATGAGACGAATTGGGCGCTTGACTCTGAAAAGTAGACAGAGCGATCGATTCCATGAACATGGGAATTTTTTGAAATCTGTGCAATGGACAATGTCTTGTATTTAAAGGAAAAATACAACATTTGCAAACATCAAAAAATTAAACTACCAAATCATTTTGAAATACCTTGCTTGACTGTTAGTGAATGACAGGGTAAAGCATCCTGTAAAATCATGGCACCTGGTATAGGCCTACTGTCATTTTCAAGAAAAGTGGTATTTTTGTATCAATTTCCAACGCTGATCGGCCGACCAGCGTTAGAAAAAACTGGCTTTTTTTCAAATACTGGCCCCAGTTGACCATCGCACTTGTTTGCAATCGATTACACACCTATGAACGGGTACACGCCAGCTAGACTGGTTCCCTGACCTTACAATTCCCCAATGTATGTAAACTGCTCTGTTTCTTCTTAAATGGAGTCAGGGAACCAGACTACAAATGATTGTTTTTCTTGGTTTTTATAGCATTTTCGAACCCAAAACCTCAAAAAAGTCAGTGTAACTATATTTGCTATATATTTCCAACCCCCCAATTCCATCCATTTCTGAAAATTACAGCAAAAGCAAATGCCTAATTTGCATGAGCAACTCGTGAACACACTGTAACACATGTGGGCCCACCTGACATACCTAGTGTCGACATTCCTTTGTCTTGGTGTAGTTAAGTAAAACCGGAGCAAAAAAAACACCTTATTTTACTCCCACCCAACCCAATTATTTTTTGAACCCATCTTTTTAGTCATGATTTCTTTGAGAGTTCGCTTCATTTTGCGACTGATAACCCTAACCCAAAAATGCCTCTAAACCTGTTTTCTCGAAAGGGGGAAACCTTGTGTGGACCCGGCTTAGTCCACAGAAGGCTCACACATCCTGCATCGTGTGTACCTTACCAGCCAGTCTGAAGAAATCCTATTGTGCTGTGATTTCAAAAAAGTCACTGAGGTGTACTCATGGGTGTATCAACAACAAGTGTGTATGGTTCTGCATACCGGGTAATATTCGTGTGTTGTTTGATGCCTGTACATATTTTTGTGCATGGTCACGGAGTGTTTGAAAACTTTCAGTAATACATATATATTTTAACAGTTACTATTTCTACTTACGTGAAAAATGATAAATAAGGGCATTGGACCCATCGCCAAAGCATAATATTGAAATTTTGCTTTTTTGACCTAAAATGAGAACCGATGCGTCAAATGTCACGAAACTTGACGCTAGATGTCGCAACCACCTCCCAAACAACATATATTGAGAAAAAGGTCCTTGTTTGAAAAAATAATATTTTATGTGCAAAAGTGATAAATGAGGGCATTGGACCCATCGCCAAAGCATAATATTGAAATTTTGCTTTTTTGACCTAAAATAAGAACCGATGCGTCAAATGTCACGAAACTTGACGCTAGATGTCGCAACCACCTACCAAACAACATATATAGAGAAAAAGGTCCTTGTTTGAAAAAATAATATTTTATGTGCAAAAGTGATAAATGAGGGCATTGGACCCATCGCCAAAGCATAATATTGAAATTTTGCTTTTTTAACCTAAAATGAGAACCGATGCGTCAAATGTCACGAAACTTGACGCTAGATGTCGCAACCACCTACCAAACAACATATATTGAGAAAAAGGTCCTTGTTTGAAAAAATAATATTTTATGTGCAAAAGTGATAAATGAGGGCATTGGACCCATCGCCAAAGCATAATATTGAAATTGTGCTTTTTTGACCTAAAATAAGAACCGATGCGTCAAATGTCACGAAACTTGACGCTAGATGTCGCAACCACCTACCAAACAACATATATAGAGAAAAAGGTCCTTGTTTGAAAAAATAATATTTTATGTGCAAAAGTGATAAATGAGGGCATTGGACCCATCGCCAAAGCATAATATTGAAATTTTGCTTTTTTAACCTAAAATGAGAACCGATGCGTCAAATGTCACGAAACTTGACGCTAGATGTCGCAACCACCTACCAAACAACATATATTGAGAAAAAGGTCCTTGTTTGAAAAAATAATATTTTATGTGCAAAAGTGATAAATGAGGGCATTGGACCCATCGCCAAAGCATAATATTGAAATTGTGCTTTTTTGACCTAAAATGAGAACCGATGCGTCAAATGTCACGAAACTTGACGCTAGATGTCGCAACCACCTACCAAACAACATATATTGAGAAAAAGGTCCTTGTTTGAAAAAATAATATTTTATGTGCAAAAATGATAAATGAGGGCATTGGACCCATCGCCAAAGCATAATATTGAAATTTTGCTTTTTTGACCTAAAATGAGAAATAAACAACACAAAATATCCATATATTTTTAAGACATCGTGTTATTTTTGAACTACGAAAGCTATCCAAAAAATGGCCACAAAAAGTGATAAAAGCTTACCTTAAAGTATTTACGTTCGATAATTCTTCAAAAAATAATGGAAAAATCAGGTCGTGCACACCATGATACACCCCGCAAGTCAAGTACGGGAAACTTGCCAACACTGTCATGACAAATATACGACCAGTACGACCTCGAAATAAATTCACTAACACGGAGAATACATACAAAGATTGATCAAGTTCCGTGAATTAACTTGCAAACAATTCCGTGTTTTTTTGGCATTTTTACGAGTCCAACCGCACCTGCAATACACCGCGCGGCTGGCATTGCATAGACTGGTTACCGCATTTTTATCGTGCCTTCCTTGGCCCGGCGGTGCGGCGGGAACACGGTCATCGCACGTGTTCTAATTATCGTCACCGCGACATCGAATTGCGAATTCGTTAGGCCTAATGCAAAGCGAACCGAAAATAACGGAGGTAAGGCCCAAACAAAAAAAGTCTCCGGTTTCTGGTATGCAGCTTGCCCCAAAAGTGGTGCGGCGACGCGGCTTTTTTTTTTTTTTTTACCTGTTTTTTTTTTTTTTGGCTTCAAATGTCGGCCGATGACTGCAAATGGTGCCCGACTAAACTTAGTGCACATATATGGGAGTCCGGAGAAGCCACATAAATCTTATTCTCGATCATAACCCAATCTAAAAACACGTTAAAATTGTGCAGCAGCAGAATTCCAGTCAAACCAGTGAGTTTGGCGGTTTTGAAACATCATCTTGTATTGAACAAAAACTTTTTCATTTTGCCGACGCGCATGGCTACGGCGACGCGCGCGCATACCAGAAACCGGAGACTTTTTTTTTGGCCTTAGGCTGAAAACAAGTTAGTAAGTAGGCGAACAAATTAATACCACCATTTTTTGACACGTTTTGTGAAGACAGAAAAAGACAACAGGATTTTTAAAATTTATTCGTTCATTTATTAGTATTCTTTTTTTTTTAACTTGCCGAAACAATGTTTAGGGTAGCGGCTTAAATAAATAGGGTGGGCCTAATAAAACTGTTCCGTCGTACGGCCGACTACAGCAGCGCTCCTACGGCTGCCGCCAATCTATACTCTGCGTCCGACCCCGATTGGAGGGGGATGAGCCGTTTTTATCGGAAAGAATGCGGGAATCAATGTGCCTGTTGCTTGCGCCACATCACTTGCAGCCGACTAAGGCAACAAACTTGTCAATCACAAACCGTTATTGCGCCATTACTTGATGAGCCATTAGCCACCTATTTATTACAGGATTATCACCTTACACAAAGCACTAGCCTGACCGTGCGGGATTAAAAACCGCAAAGGCAAAGCGCCCGAAAACAACCCTATTTTAACCGAGAAGCAAGACTGGATGTGAGGGATTAAATCCGCGAAACTGACCGCAGAGTTAATGAGCAACTCTGGAAGCCAAGTCCCGAAAAGACACCTGTTTTAACCGTGTACTTTTTGGTCCCATTATTTAACCGTGTTTCAATCGTGTGCCGGCACGGTTAAAATGTGTGGTTTCCAGATTTAACCGTCAAACTGCATTTTTAACCGTGTACATTTTCATAGTGTGTGGCCCGTGTAAACCGCGCTTGGCCTTGATGTACACGGTACGTGAACAAGGGCGGATCCAGAACACAATCTTTTGGGGGCCAAAAAAAATTTTGGTCCCCCCAAAAAGTGGGGAAAAAATTTACGGCGTTGGGTTCGGGACCCACTTAAGGGCCCCCAAAAAATTTTGGATTCTAGATGCTCTGTACGTGGTGCGATCTGAGGCAATTTCTGACCCCAATTTTATTTTGGAAAAGATGGTGGTGTACTCATTGCCTGCCTTTATTGCGATGTCACATCAAAAAAAAAAAATGGTTTCGTTTCTTTTGGGGGGGGGGGGGCATGGCCCCCTTTGGCCCCCCCCCCCCCGATCCGCCCTTAGGTGAAGTTTTTTTTATCAGCCGAATTGGATTGGATTGGATTGGATTGGATTGGATTGGATTGGTTTGGTTTGGTTTGGTTTTGGTTTGGTTTGGATTGGATTGGATTGGATTGGATTGGATTGGTTTGGATTGGTTTGGGTTGGTTTGGGTTGGGTTGGGTTGGTTTGGTTTGGTTTGGTTTGGTTTGGTTTGGTTTGGTTTGGATTGGATTGGATTGGGTTGGGTTGGATTGGATTGGATTGGATGGGTTTGGATTGGTTTGGATTGGTTGGATTGGGTTGGGTTGGATTGGTTTGGTTTGGTTTGGTTTGGTTTGGTTTGGATTGGATTGGTTTGGATTGGTTTGGATTGGTTTGGTTTGGTTTGGTTTGGGTTGGGTTGGGTTGGGTTGGGTTGGGTTGGTTTGGATAGGATTGGATTGGTTTGGTTTGGATTGGATTGGTTTGGATTGGTTTGGATTGGTTTGGTTTGGTTTGGTTTGGGTTGGGTTGGGTTGGGTTGGGTTGGGTTGGTTTGGATAGGATCGGATTGGATTGGATTGGATTGGATTGGGTTGGGTTGGATTGGATTGGATTGGATGGGGTTGGGTTGGTTGGTTTGGATTGGTTTGGATTGGTTTGGATTGGGTTGGGTTGGATTGGTTTGGTTTGGTTTGGTTTGGATTGGGTTGGGTTGGGTTGGGTTGGGTTGGTTTGGATTGGATTGGATTGGGTTGGGTTGGATTGGATTGGATTGGATGGGGTTGGGTTGGTTTGGATTGGTTTGGATTGGTTTGGATTGGGTTGGGTTGGATTGGTTTGATTTGGTTTGGTTTGGTTTGGTTTGGTTTGGTTTGGTTTGGTTTGGTTTGGATCCCAGTGGGCAAAATACGTTGAAATAACGTTGAAACAACGTCAGTTTCCGACGTTGAACTAACGTTGAATAATGATTGAATTTGAAAGTTTTTCTGACGTTGAAATGCCGACGTTGAATCAACGTCAACATTTCAACGTTGATTTTATGTTGAAAATTCTACGTTGATTCAACGTTGATTAATGATTGAATTTGCAAGTTGATCTGACGTTGTTTTGCTGATGTTAAACCAACGTGGAAAGCACGACGTTGAATCAACGTAAATATTTCAACGTTGATTTAATGTCGGACATTCTACGTTGATTCAACGTTGATTAATGATTGAATTTGCAAGTTGATCTGACGTTATTATGCTGACGTTAAACCAACGTGGAAAGCATGACGTTGAATCAACGTAGATATGTCAACGTTGATTTAATGTCGGAGATTCTACGTTGATTCAGCGTTGATTAATGATTGAATTTGCAAATTGAAGCGACGTGGAAATGTCGACATTGAAACAACGTTAAGATCACAACGTTGAGTTAACGTAGACATTTCAACATTGATTTAACGTCGACATCTCTACATTAAAATAGCACTGACATGATGTTCAATCAACGTATAAATAATCAACATTAAATGACATCCTATTCTTAGAAATATCACAGTTAAATAAATGCAATTCTTGAATCAAAATATTTTAAGGTTTGTGTTAAGATTTAAAGCCAGAATGTACTGATAATGGTGGATGTTGGCATTTTTCCAATCGTTCTATGTTAAATAAATTTGCAAGCTGAGGAGTGTTGTTAAATCCATGTCGAAATTGAATAACTTTAAATTTAATCAATCACTTTAATTTTTTCCATAAAAAAATGTGTGTATTTATTAATTAACTTTCAACCTTATCAGCTTATACAACACCTTTTAGGTTTCAACAAAGTAGTAATTAATCCATACATAGTAAAATTCAGAATTAGATTGACTTGTTCCAACAGCATTATAGCCTAAACGAGGGTACTAGTCTCTAAAAAGATACATGATAATGAATTTGATTCTTTTTTCAAAGAAATGCAGCACTGCCCAGTGCATTTACATCGGAAATATAACACGAATTAACAAGCATACAGGTACAATTTTTAAACGTCTAAATTCACTTTTTTTTTTCATTTGCATACAATTCATATTAGTTTTCCAAATTTACCTGCAGCACTATTCTATCATATCCATGAATTTTCTTGTGAAATATTGCAAGAGGTTATGCGGCAGACTTGGGCAAGAGCATTAGAAACTATCAAATAGAAAATAATAAAACAAACAGCATCATTCATACAAAATGAATCTAAATAATTCAATTGAACATTTGAACAGGTCAACCAAGAATCAACAGTAATAACTAAATAATGCACAATACATGTACTGTATATAATTATTATAACAGTCCCCCACTTCTCGAACGTGGAAGTTTCAAGATGAAAAGTACAAGATGCGGCAGAGGTTGAATTTCCATCACTTAAAGAGCCTTTACCTGTTACACTTACGGAAAGATACCAGCCACTCCAGAGCAACTTACTGTATTTGAACAATTACTATTAATCAACTGTTCCAATATTGAAATATTTAACACAGTCCAAAGGTACGACTGAATGTGAAGGTGCATGGGCCCTCAGTGTGTCCCTCCATCACCTCTTCTTTCAGGCGCAAACTTGACAGGAGATGAAAAACTCAACAAGCAGCAACATCCATCACCTTGCCCGATGACGAAGTTACTAGACCTCGCTAGAAAAGACAAATAAAAGATAGTGTAATATTTTAGAATTGCAAGCTTCCTCCCCAACCATCTCTTTATTCATTGACACAACCAAATCACCCTCAAAAACGAAAATGTTACAAACACAAACAAAGAGAAATACATACATAAACCATATTAGTTTCAACAAAGCGACAACACGTTTGGTCATCATTTTATGTGCTGACATTGTGTACAAAAAATCAACAGAATGATTCCTTTTATTAAACTTGCACTTATAAAAACTACCACTTGTATTTCCTGACACTTCAGCAATTATCAACCATACAACCAAGTACCACACAATGAGATTTTAACCAAGATCAATAATTGGTCAAAATAAATTAAATCTGGCGAAGAAAATTAAATTACCTGCGAAACTGAAAAGGTCCGTCTCCTCATCTGCTTTTTTTTCAGTTCCACCCTGCCCATCATTGTTGAACTGTCTTCAATCACTTGGTCATGCACCTGTTGGATGAGAAAAAAAACAACGCTCAGAGACAAAAGCAAAGACCCATCAGGAAAAAAGATAACGGAAGAGTGTAAACAAACACAAGTTATTATACAATGCACTGTGACGAAACTTCTGCCAACACTCAATTAAGATATAGCCACAAATCTGTTTTCATTTTTGCGTTTTGTTAACGTTTTGAATGAACTGGCCATTGTGTCTGTTGTGGATTTGAATACCACTTTTTTTATGTGCGATGACTGCAATCAGAGCTACATCTCTGCAAGTGTTATTGACTTAAGAATAAAATAATCGGTTTTTGCCATAAAACTTAGCCCTGAATTTTTTTTTTGTCGGCATATACATACCAGCTACGGCACTGCGAGTACTGTCCGAAAGATTTCAAACTGAAGCATCTTCGAAAGTCATACATAACTCCTCCATACTGGTTCGACAATCCATGCTGACTTTGGCTCCTCCTCAATTCCTGTATGAATCATTGCTGAGTGGGGTTTCGTCATCTGTGGGGTCTTGTAAACTCTTCTGGAATTTTGAAAAGGATTTTTTTCTTCAGAAGCTGAAAAAGTGAGATTAACTACCCTACCTGTCCTACCTGCCAAACTTAGACTCTGCATACTCCCCAAAAAATATGCAAACCATGTCTAGTATGTACACAAAACAAAAACAAGTTTATGTAGAAATACCACCTGCCTATGCAATGATTGATTACTTAGGCCAATACATTTACGTAATTACTCACTCCCTGCACCGTGAGTCCATTTTGTTATTGCACCATTCACAGCACAGGCTACAAACAGCGGTATAATTATCCATGCTTGCATTTACCTAAAGTTTTGATACAGAAATTTGTGTTATGCATTCTCACTATTGTCACAGCAACTTTTAGTTTTACACAAAGGATCAAGGAACTACCCAGCAACTTCCTCCGTTTTGTGACTTGTACATGTACAAGAGCACCGGGGTGGTGATAGCAACATGTGAAATCGAAATCGGGAGTGTTTATCCCCCACTTGATAGGCCTATTCCCTATGGAAGATAACCCACCTGGTTTAATAATCAGGGGAAGTAAAACGGTATAATGTACATGACCCACGACCTATCACCGCTGTGTAGCTGTACGAAGAAATCCAGTATGGCAGTAATTGACCTCGAGAAAATATACTGCATTCCATTCTACAATCACTTTTGGACGATCCATTTTTACTTTTTAGCCTGAAAATTACATGAAAACTGAAACTCTACTGTGCAGAAAATCGAATTATATTTTTCCTGGTTATTATTTTTTTTAACCAGGTAGGCTTAAGTACATTTCATCATCATGCATTTCATGTCCATAAGGTCTACCAAGTGAAAAAAAAATGCAATTTCTATTTCCTCAGAAACAACTTTTCAATACAAAGGAAATCCAGTAATTGAGCCACATTTATTCATGGTAACAATATCGTCTCGGAAAGTTTAAGTCACACGTCCATTATACTGTACAGTTCAAAACGCCAATGGAGGATTATTTCTCAGGATTTCTCTCACTACTTTCCCATTGAACCCGTTTTAGTACAGCTCAGCAATACACTGTTCCGAGTGCCGGGATGCATGCGGTCGACCTGGTTCCCATACGTACCGGACGCCGGTATCATCAGTGACCATGCATGCCAGTGTCCCCGACCCCAGTGATGTGTCAATATTTGTTTATCGTTTTGGGGAGAAATTGGTTGCAATTAATAAGTAAGTGCTTCGAATAAACGTCAGGTATGTCTAAGCAACATCATAACAATAACTACGAATTTTGATGGCAAAATTCTTACCTGTTATTTGAGTAAAATGATGTCGGCTGCACGCTACACGTCCACACAACTGCAGTATGATGTCGAAATATGTAACGGTCATATGCTTGCGCGCCATATCGTGATTCAAAGAGAGTACATGAAAACTGATTGGCCAGCGTCACAACCTTGGAATGTAGAACAAATTACGCGCCGTGTGATTGGCTAGCGTCACAGCTTTGGCGTGCTGACAAATAATATGTTTTCATAAAAAAGGCCACAAAGTTCAATTAAGTCGGCTATTTTGTTTATATTTCTTGACATAATATTTTGCACTTTGATAGTTAAAATTATACGTTAATTGATACAGCAGGACTGACGTTGAAGTAACCGCGAGGATACTCAATTTCAAAGCAATGCAATATGTTTGATTGCGACGCACTTAATTTCGACATTTTTTCAACTTTGGACTAATTAAAATCCGTATGTTAAACAAAGTTTACCAAACCGACGTTGGTACATTTAGGTCGTTATCACGACGCAATTTTAAGCATTTATCCAACATCAGAATAATGTCAAAATACGTTGGAACAATTACAAAACTGACGATTGATAGACATTGAATTTAACATTGTTAATATCGTGACGCAATTTAAACGCATATTCAACGTCAGATTAATGTTGAAATCTGTACGTTGGAACAACGTTACCAAACTGACGTTGAATAGACATGGAATTTCGGTTGTCAATATCGTGACGCAATTTAAACTTTTATTCGACGTCAGATTAATGTCGAAATCTGTACGTTGGAACAACGTTACCAAACCGACGTCAGAGAGACGTTAATTTTAGGTTGTTAATATCGCGACGCAATTTTAACATTTATCCAACGTTAGATTAATGTCGAAATATGTACGTTGGAACAACGTTACCAAACCGACGTTGAATAGACATTGAGTTTTGGTTAATAATATCGCGACGCAATTTCAACCAACATTTAACGTTGGATTAATGTCGAAATATGGACGTTGAAACAACGTTACAAAACCGACGTTGGCTAGACATTGAATTTAGGTTGATAATATCGCGACGCAATTTCAACCAACATTCAATGTTGGATTAATGTCGAAATATGGACGTTGGAACAACGTTACAAAACCGACGTTGGATAGACATTGAATTTAGGTTGATAATATCGCGACGCAATTTCAACATTTATTCGACGTTGAAACAACGTCAAACTGTAACATAAAATCAACGTCGCAAAAGTGACGTTGAAATAACGTTGTTTTACGGTATTTCGACGTCGTGACGTCATTTCAACCAACATTCAACGTTGAAACAACGTCATGTGCCCACTGGGATTGGTTTGGATTGGTTTGGATTGGTTTGGATTGGTTTGGATTGGGTTGGGTTGGGTTGGGTTGGGTTGGGTTGGGTTGGTTTGGATTGGATTGGATTGGATTGGATGGGGTTGGGTTGGTTTGGATTGGTTTGGATTGGTTTGGATTGGGTTGGGTTGGATTGGTTTGGTTTGGTTTGGTTTGGTTTGGTTTGGATTGGGTTGGGTTGGATTGGTTTGGTTTGGTTTGGTTTGGTTTGGATGGGGTTGGGTTGGATTAGATTGGTTTGGATTGGGTTGGGTTGGGTTGGGTTGGGTTGGGTTGGTTTGGATTGGATTGGATTGGATTGGATGGGGTTGGGTTGGTTTGGATTGGTTTGGATTGGTTGGGTTGGGTTGGATTGGATTGGTTTGGTTTGGTTTGGTTTGGTTTGGTTTGGTTTGGTTTGGTTTGGTTTGGTTTGGTTTGGTTTGGTTTGGTTTGGATTGGTTTGGATTGGTTTGGATTGGGTTGGGTTGGATTGGGATGGGTTGGGTTGGGTTGGGTTGGGTTGGGTTGGGTTGGGTTGGGTTGGGTTGGGTTGGGTTGGGTGTGGTTTGGGTTGGGTTGGGTTGGTTTGGATTGGATTGGGTTGGGTTGGATTGGTTTGGTTTGGATTGGGTTGGGTTGGGTTGGGTTGGGTTGGGTTGGTTTGGATTGGATTGCATTGGGTTGGGTTGGATTGGATTGGATTGGATGGGGTTGGGTTGGTTTGGATTGGTTTGGATTGGTTTGGATTGGTTTGGTTTGGTTTGGTTTGGTTTGGTTTGGTTTGGTTTGGTTTGGTTTGGTTTGGTTTGGTTTGGATTGGTTTGGATTGGTTTGGATTGGGTTGGATTGGGTTGGGTTGGGTTGGGTTGGGTTGGTTTGGATTGGATTGGATTGGATTGGATGGGGTTGGGTTGGTTTGGATTGGTTTGGATTGGTTTGGATTGGGTTGGGTTGGATTGGTTTGGTTTGGTTTGGTTTGGTTTGGTTTGGATTGGGTTGGGTTGGATTGGTTTGGTTTGGTTTGGTTTGGTTTGGTTTGGATGGGGTTTGGTTGGATTAGATTGGTTTGGATTAGGTTGGGTTGGGTTGGGTTGGGTTGGGTTGGGTTGGTTTGGATTGGATTGGATTGGATTGGATGGGGTTGGGTTGGTTTGGATTTGTTTGGATTGGTTGAGTTGGGTTGGGTTGGATTGGTTTGGTTTGGTTTGGTTTGGATTGGTTTGGATTGGTTTGGATTGGGTTGGGTTGGATTGGGATGGGTTGGGTTGGGTTGGGTTGGGTTGGGTTGGGTTGGGTTGGATTGGTTTGGATTGGTTTGGTTTGGTTTGGTTTGGTTTGGTTTGGTTTGGTTTGGTTTGGTTTGGTTTGGTTTGGATTGGTTTGGATTGGTTTGGATTGGGTTGGATTGGGTTGGGTTGGGTTGGGTTGGGTTGGTTTGGATTGGATTGGATTGGATTGGATGGGGTTGGGTTGGTTTGGATTGGTTTGGATTGGTTTGGATTGGGTTGGGTTGGATTGGTTTGGTTTGGTTTGGTTTGGTTTGGATTGGGTTGGGTTGGATTGGTTTGGTTTGGTTTGGTTTGGTTTGGTTTGGATGGGGTTGGGTTGGATTAGATTGGTTTGGATTAGGTTGGGTTGGGTTGGGTTGGGTTGGGTTGGGTTGGTTTGGATTGGATTGGATTGGATTGGATGGGGTTGGGTTGGTTTGGATTTGTTTGGATTGGTTGAGTTGGGTTGGGTTGGATTGGTTTGGTTTGGTTTGGTTTGGTTTGGTTTGGTTTGGTTTGGTTTGGTTTGGTTTGGTTTGGGTTGGATTGGTTTGGATTGGTTTGGATTGGGTTGGGTTGGATTGGGATGGGTTGGGTTGGGTTGGGTTGGGTTGGGTTGGGTGTGGTTTGGGTTGGGTTGGGTTGGTTTGGTTCCGGTTTGGTTTGGGTAAGTTCGGCGGAACCCGACCACTCTTTGGATCTGTTACGATTAATCTTCTTTCTTTCCGAGTTTCTTTCTTTCTTTCTTTTTTTCCGGACATTACGTTTCCGCGGTTTTTTTCCTAAACGGTATATGGTATGAACTTTTAACTTTCAATATATATCGACCCTCATCTGAAGTGGTGCATATTACTCTGACGTCATGATTACGTCATCAGGTGTCAAATTACAAGTGATTTTATCTGAAAGAGTGACCAATTACTTTCACTTATAACTCTTGAACTAAACATTTAATGATGTTTGTATTCTGTATTCAGATTTGGATGGGGTTGGGTTGGTTTGGATTGGTTTGGATTGGTTTGGATTGGGTTGGGTTGGATTGGTTTGGTTTGGTTTGGATTGGTTTGGATTAGATTGGATTGGATTGGATTGGTTTGGATTGGTTTGGATTGGTTTGGATTGGTTTGGATTGGTTTGGATTGGGTTGGGTTGGATTGGTTTGGTTTGGTTTGGATTGGTTTGGATTAGATTGGATTGGATTGGATTGGTTTGGATTGGGATGGGTTGGGTTGGATTGGATTGGATTGGATTGGTTTGGATTGGGATGGGTTGGATGGGGTTGGATTGGATTGGATTGGATGGGGTTGGGTTGGTTTAGATTGGTTTGGATTGGTTGGGTTGGGTTGGATTGGTTTGGTTTGGTTTGGTTTGGTTTGGTTTGGTTTGGTTTGGTTTGGTTTGGTTTGGATTGGTTTGGATTGGTTTGGATTGGGTTGGGTTGGATTGGGATGGGTTGGGTTGGGTTGGGTTGGGTTGGGTTGGGTGTGGTTTGGGTTGGGTTGGGTTGGTTTGGTTCCGGTTTGGTTTGGATAAGTTCGGCGGAACCCGACCACTCTTTGGATCTGTTACGATTAATCTTCTTTCTTTCCGAGTTTCTTTCTTTCTTTCTTTTTTTCCGGACATTACGTTTCCGCGGTTTTTTCCTAAACGGTATATGGTATGAACTTTTAACTTTCAATATATATCGACCCTCATCTGAAGTGGTGCATATTACTCTGACGTCATGATTACGTCATCAGGTGTCAAATTACAAGTGATTTTATCTGAAAGAGTGACCAATTACTTTCACTTATAACTCTTGAACTAAACATTTAATGATGTTTGTATTCTGTATTCAGATAGACCATTAATCGCTAAACATGTTTTGTTGTGTACGAAAACTTGCTTGACCTTTACGTCCGGGTCTACCGGAAGGTCAAAGTTAGGTGAATTCAAAATGAAGACGTTAGCCTGAATTCAAAACAAAGCAACATTTCTTCCGAACGGTTCACGGTATGATCACAAAACCTTGTGTGAACTTGTACCATATGACGAAGATGTTGTAAATTTTGTTACGTCATCACAACGTCATCAGGTATCAAATTACAAGCGTTTTAAGGGCAAATTTTGACAAAATAGTTTGCGTTATATCCTTTGAACTAAATAGAGTATCGTGTTCGTTTTTTCGTGAGGTTGTAGACTATGCCGTGAGAAACATTTCGTTTTCCATGACGCCAAACCGTTTGACCTTTACTTCCGGTGGGAGTGAAACTAGAAGTTATGCAAGATTTTTTTTTTTTCACGTGTGATATCTTTGAGAAAGTAGTATCCACTTCCTTTCATCCTTTGATCTGTCCAAAATCAACAGCAATTTAATATTTATGGGTCGGAAAATCTCGTCTTTTCTTTTGTTTCTGTCCCCTTCACGTTTATTTGTGGCTCTTCACTCTTTCTTCCTTGTAATGAGAAACTCCCGTTAAAATAACTTACTTATTAGCTGCGACGGCACAGATCGCCGCGTAGACGGACGATTTGGTTATCTTCCCACCAAAACCTCCACCGAGGCGCTTCACTCGAGATACCACTCGGTGCTTTGCTACACCCAAAGCCCTGGCAACCATGGTCTGGTACGAATAACAGATAAAAAAAAATAAGTAGCCTTGAATAAAATTTAAAAAAAAATTCTCTAGAAATTGTGTCCCTTTTTTCAAGTAAAATGCATTAACTTTTTGGAGTTGATTAAAAAAAAAACCAAATGCTGTCTTAGGAACATCTGCAGAAGAATGATATTATTGTTTACAACATCAGAATGTACGTTTTCAGTTCATTTTTTTGTCTGCCCAGAAGTATCCACAAAACATCACGGAACAGTTGTTAGGCCTACTGTACATATTTCAACTGATTTTGTCGGATTCTCCAGATACATCAGAAATAATTACTGTTTCGTAACCGCCATGGAACCATCGTTAAGAAACAGAAATTGGAGATGTGCACATGGCTGGAGCAGTTACAAATAACAAGCCTGCGGCGTGCGATAGTACTGACATTGTCAGTACATTTTTAAATCAATTTTACCAATTACTCCGTCCTATTTGTCATCAAAAATGTCACGCTGTACAAGTTCCCGATTGAGACATAGCCAAAAAGCATTGTGAGTGCCCCTTTAACCACGGTTGAACTTTTGACCCAGACCTTCTGAGGCAAAGCTCGGACCCAGGCCAACTCCAATATGATTTGTATTGTCCAGCTCCAACCACAAGGCTTGGGAAGTATATACTGCGGTTATTACTCGAAGCCTGGAAACAGGTGGTCCTCATCCTTTTGAGTTGAAGTCTAAAAGGACATGTAGTCTTAGGCTGTTATGGTTGGGGAGGCAAAAACCAGGCAGATAAAAATTGAACTTTTTTTCGCAGGGGTACTGACCAAATACAGAGTAATCTGGGCATGTATACCCTTTTTTGGCTTGAAACCGTTTTCTTGAGCGAAGAGGGCCTTTCTTCATCTATTTAGACACTATGAGAAGGGATTATGTTCTCCAAAACGCCTAATGACGGGATTGTGCTAGACCGTAACAGCCAAGTGCCATCACATACTGAAAAAAAAATCAGTGCTGTGGTGGAGTACAGGTAAAATAAAACGATAGCGGCTCGCAGGGTTAACAGTTGCTCCCAAAAATCTAGACCTCCATTGTACTATTAGTACAAACCACGTACATACAAATTAGTTTCACCTCAGTATATGTATTAATTGGTTTTCCAACCTGTATCCTAGATGGTGCCTGGGAGGCTGAGATGACCTCGACCTCCCCTCCTTCTCCCGGGATGACCAAGGTGGTAATTGTCTCCAGGTAGAAGTGCTCCTGGGCACCAATCTTTAGCTCTCCCTCGATGATGTGATCCGAGCTGTCAAAGGCTTCTTTCACGTTTCCCTTCCGGAGGCGGTAGCCGTCAGGGAAGAAGGAGTTCTCCTCAATGGCGTCCTAATAATGGAGTAAAAATAGTTATCTTATAATCTGTCCCTCTTTGAAAAACAATCAGCGACGTACCTCTAATCCTGTTGGTCGGGAGCTGGTTCTTCCACGGAACCTCTCCATGTCCGACGGTTTGGGTTTTTTTTTTTTTTTTCAAGTGAATAGATTTTACCAAAGGGCATTTTTTTCACTGACCCTTCTTCGCTAGTTTCTTACGCCAATTTCTGCCTCGTCACGTCCATTCATTGTTATAGTTCCTAACGTAAGCACTGCGAGATATTTGTCAAATTTCATGTTTTCCTCGTACTGCCTTTCTTTGGAATTCCCTACCTCAACTTGCTTGCCTTTCTACCCACCAATCGTCACAATTCAAACGAAATGTGAACAGATACCTTCTGCAACAATGACTTCTTTGTCTGATCTTTCTGGTTTGTTATCCTCACCCTTCAGTGGTCACGGCCTTGCGTTTGGACGGTTATCCAAATAAAAAAGAACATTATTCTTCAGCACCTAGCCCTCCTTTCTTTAGGTCAAGTGATTCGGCTAATAAATACCTGTATAGTGATAACAGTCGGCAGCTCTTCGTACTCCACTCGCACCAACTTGGCAGCTCTCTGCGCGATAGCCTGGTTGTCAGCTACTACCACCCCGATCACCTGGCCTATACTATTCACCTGTTGTTGAGGGGAGATATTTCACGGATTTCATTTGAAGGTCCGCATTTTCCATAAGATACCTGAGACAAAAACTTAAGCTATCTCAACCTTGGTGATATTAATTGCGAAGATAATAGGAAGAACGACACAAGGTTTTTTTTTTAACATCTGTTCGTATCAATCCACCCTTGACCACGTGAATTTTCATTGAACACAATCTGTTATGCATGTGTCCCTTGTGGATTATTATTTTAGATTGGGAAATGTCTATCAAGTAGCAATACCTCAAGTGTTATGTATGTGTACAGCTTTAGGTATTAAAGAGGTTGTGGAATGCTTGAAAACATTTCCGTCATTTTTTGGGTATTATGTAGCCTAAGGTGTGATGAAACAAAAACGACTTTTGTTTCTGTCATGAAATGAGTACAAAGGGTACTTTTGAGAGCTATTTTTCAGGTCCTGTTTCAACCCAAACGTGCAATTTGTGTAAAAGTCGTCGTTGCGGGCAGCAAACAAAACACAGTAAATCGTGACGTAATAAACAGGACTCCCGATGCAGAGTAGCATAAACGAGTCCTGTTTATTACGTCACGATTTACTGTGTTTTGTTTGCTGCCTGCAACGATGACTTTTACACAAATTGCACGTTCGGGTCGATACAGGCATGACAGGACTTGAAAAACAGCTCTCAAAAGTACTTTTTGTACTCATTTTATGACAGAAACAATGGTCGTTTTTATTTCATCACACCTTAGGCTACATATACCCGAACAATGACGGAAATGTCTTCGAGCATTCCACAACCTCTTTAAAGGCCGCCCTTGTATTTACGTACACTCTAAAAACGCTTGGGTCAGATCATAGCGAAAGGACACACCTGGAGTCTGAAACCAAATTTTCTCGGTTCTTTTTCCTGGTCAAAAAGTTACATTTCTGGGTCATTATGACCAAGAAGAGTGTCATGTTTAACCCTGAAAAGGACTGACCAAATTAGGATTCAGATTCCAGTTCAATCTGACCCAGGAGTTTTTAGAGTCCGGTGTAGCGTGAATATCCGACTCCATGAAATGTGGACTCATTGGTAGTACTGCGCACGCGTGAGTACGATACTATGCTAGTTTTAGGATCGTTTCGGGAGAGTGACCTGTCACGTGCGAGGGATCAACCAATAATAGGGAAATAGGGGTCCGATTTTCATAGGAGTCGGATTTTCATGTGACACCGGCATTCTACCTCTGGTGGCTTTCAGCTGGGTAAGGAGATACTTCCATTAATTGGGGCAAATGGGAAGAAGAAATTAAAGGTGGCCTGGAATTTACCTCTTTCTCGGCAAACAAAAGATCGTCATACTCTTGTGACGTTCCTGACATGTTGCTTCCTGGCACATCGTCAGCACTCACGTACGAATGCACTCCGTCAATTGCGAGTGCTTCAGTGGTATCAACGGATCTGACCAGGAATAATTATCAAAATGATATCAGATGATCTGAGGAACGATGATTACGTCAATCGGTTTGGCAACTAATGCAATCTGGACTTGTCGCACAGTTTTCAACTATGGCTTCCTCCCAGTAACACTGAATAGAAACTCAATACTGATTAATGTCTAGTTTGGGTTGACTTCGCTCTTTTGGGGTGCATACCCATGTTTCCTAATACCGATGTTCCACAACGTGTTCCCCGAAATCCCTACCCTATACCCCTAGCCCTAACCCTAACCCTAACCCTAACACTTACCCTAATCCTAAGGATCTCGGGGAACATTGGTAGTGGGGAACATTGGTATTGAGAACATCGGGTAGACCCCCTCTTTTGTATCATATTGAGCAGTTTAGTCGTCCTCGCAGGGGCGGATCTAGCTTTTATGAAACGGGTGGGGGCGGGGTTGATATAAAAGGGGGATTGAGTCTAAGGCATGCCGAAGACACGCCCTGCTGGGGGGGGGGGTCCGGGCATGTACCCGGAAAATTTCGAAATCTTCAATGCCTTCTCCGGCATTCTAAGGCAATTCGAGAATAAATTTAGGGACTTTTCATTTACTATTTTTAGCATGTCATTTATTGTTGCTGGCCCCATTGTACTAGTAAGCCCTCTAGGCCCTATCATAACTAACCCCCTTCTGGATCCGCTACAGCCTCGTCTGCAGTTTGAGAGAGGGGACCATTAATGTAGTGTTATTCTGAAAACCTTTTGCAACGTTATGAAAGAAAAATCAATTAAACCTAAGATAAGTCCAGTGTTGCACTCAAGCTACTTGTTATGGATCAGGTACATCACAAGTCCTGTCACGAGTAGATTCACAAGTCCAGTTATGGAATGGATAGTATTAAATGAATGCCTTTGTGTCAGTGTATTTGAAGGCTAGCTGGACATTCTTTCTCTGTGCTAGCTCCTCTGATACTGATGATTGGATTTGAAAGTTAAACTATATTCGGTTGTGGGAGTTTGGTGAAGACACCACAACAATACCAAAATACTTAATACATAAATTAGCATGAATCCCGCAATAGGGCGACAAGTTGTGCGGGACTTCCCCTACATTAGGGCGACACACCGCAATAGGGCGACAATTGTGGTGTCGCCCTATTGAGGTACTACCCTTTAGCGAAGGAATTTTACCATCGCAAATGAGCTAGATTGATTACTCGTGGTCCAAAACGTACACATACCAAACTTGGTTGGGATCGGATAAGGTAAAATTGGGTTAGGTCACATTAAAGTTTGAAAAATTGTGTGCACGTTTCTATGGAAGTGTCGCCCTATCCTGCAATCCAGAGATATAATAAAGACAATTGTTATGTCTTATTTTTCGTTTCCTTTGTAAATGTTCATCAGGTGATTTGGAACTTACAAAATGTTGGCGTGTGCCTTCTTGCTGAGGACCATTCCCAGATACAGCTCAACTTTTAGAAACAAAATATCAAATAACTCGTCAGTTAACATAAGATTACTTAAGGGTAATTATACATTATTTTGAAAACAGATGAACACACAAAAAAGAATGTTGAAAAAGATAATTGGCAAGTTATATGATTATAATTCGTCACCGACACCACGAACTGACACCCTCTGCATCACATGTGTACAAAAAAAATTAAAAATTCAAATTTTCTTTTTTTGCACATATTAGCAGTTTGTGTCAAGAAGTTTAACATGATAAAGTTAAAATTGCTGAAATCATCTAAAATAAGCAAATTTTACTAATGAATTTTCAAGAAATTGGTCAATTCTGGTATTTTTTGTTACCACGAAGTGACCCTGCACAGGGTGTCAGTTCGTGAAAACAAACATTTGCGTATTTTCGGAGAGTGCGCGCATGCAATAGCGTTAGGGAGTGTCAGTTCGTGGAAACGAAAATTGACGTGTGTTTGGAGAGTGCGCGCACGCATGCGCAGTGTGTGCGCGCACTCTCCCAAAACGCGTCAATTTTGGTTTTCACGAACTGACACTCACTAACGCTATTGCATGCGTGCACTCTCCAAAAACACATAAATTTTCGTTTTCACGAACTGACACCCATCTTAATCATTTAATTGCTAATTAACTAAGCAGTTTTTCACAGTATAACGTTTATAATTGAGTAGTTTAAGTATTTTCACGTTAAGTGATACTAAAACCTCTAAGATAGATGGAAATTTTACTGAGTAAATTCGTGTCAAACCTTTAAAAGCGTTTTTCTTCGATTTGTATTTCTGCAACGCTGACCACCGGGTATCAGTTCGTGGTGTCGGTGACGAATTAGGCACAACTTAAATAACTGGTAGAGCATTCCTGTACCGATTTAGTTTAATGTAGGCTATAGGGTATTTAGTATCCTTTTTACTACAATACCAACTTGACTTTACAAATAACATTATTATTGGTACATGTATTACCATGCAGAAGAGGATGCTAGCACCTAAATATCGATACAACGTCCAGTAATAAATCATTTCCAATTCAAGAAAATGTATTTGTCAATAGTTGTTGTCAACACACTACTTTAAATGCATTTTTACCAACAAAGAAGCATACTACAAAATATGACTTACTCTCGTTATGAGGCATATCATCCACGTAGACAGCTTCTCCTGTGACCTGTTTGAAGGCAGATTGATGGGTCACAGGTCGGCCAACGGCGTCTGAATCAGGTTGGCCTGATGGTACCTCCTGAAATCACCAGAGAAAAGTGATTCTTTAAGTCAATTTAATTCATCTTCATGATTTAAAGAAATAAAAGTGATATTTAACATAGATTGAACCACGTTCGGCCTCGAATTTGTCCCCTTTGCACGATATGTATTATACGTAGAGGCAATATAGAAGGGGAAATTATTCCCGATTATGTAAAGTTTATCTTTAGGAGTACATGTACCATCTTCTGGTACCAATCAGCTCATGAGTATCAATAAAGAAACACCATATCTGAACTGGAAATAAATTTTCTTCAGTAAGTGAAAACGATTAAAAACACAGACATATATAACACTCCAATTTAGCTTCGATATTTAGTGGTTCGGTGGGGATCAACCAATTAGAAATCATTAAAAGGCTTCGGTAGAAAAACGACTCTTTCCTCCATAAAAGACATCCAGCCAATCAAATTACCTGATACATCTGAACACCTCGCGCGGAGTTCTTATGGTAAGGCTGGTTGGCTGAGCTGAAGGATGGTGGCATCGTCGAACCTCTCAAACCAGGCTGAAAGGATGTTGAGGATAAATGATGTCACCAAGCGAAGGTTGTATATGCAAATATTGAAGTTTAACTTATTATTTTCCCAAAATTCATTAAAGAAAAACAATGTAATGCTTGACAAAACACAGCGGCACATCACAGTGTATTTCGCTTAATTTTATTGTAAGCAATGCGCAGACATTGACCAGAAAAGAAATAGGTAGTTAAAACTGTTGTAAGCAGGTGCTGCTCTTCATAAAAATCTCGACTTCTGTTTGATTCACCTGTTTCAGATGTATTTGTTCCAAGACGGCGAGGTAGAACTTGAAGAAGAAGCTGAGGGTGAGTGATTGCCGATAGGGCTCCATACCGCCTGGGGCACCGGGGGATAGAGGTAGATCCTCGAGCAGTAGAGGGGTCATGACCTCCACTAAACCATCACTCCACGGTCTGATAAGAAGATCAAATCAATTTACGGCTGGCAGCAAGCTAGATCGAGGAGTGGTCGATTAGTGGTTGATTTGTGACTTAACTGACGTGTGCGCACTAATAACAACGCACGACCGTCTTGAGTCAAACGATGGTCAAAACGTCATCAAGAAACTTCTTGGTGCTAATTGCTCCTTCCTCCGTATTTGTAAATTGTGCCTGAACTATAGTCCAACTATCGTCGTTGAGCTAGAGTTTGAGCGAAGATAGTCGAACCGTGGTTAACTACATGTCTGGCTTGAAATTGCTCAAGGCTATATCACCATACGAGCAAATTATACAGGCACCGCCAAGCGTTGGGCTCGATATGATGCCACCGTGTCAAATTTCAATGTCGCAATATTTTACTCAGGCCTATGATCTTCCTTTATAGAAATAAGAATAAAATAAATGCAATGCTTATAATTATAGCGCTTCATATCGTATCAACAATCTCAGAGCGCTTTTACAATTATTCCCCTCTTCATCAGGCCTCGAGACCACGCGGCAGCCGATATCAGCGCACATTCGGTCCTCTACCGCCACAGGTACCCATTTATACTCCTGGCTAGAGAGAGTCAATAGCAGTTAAGTGACTTGCAAAAGGGCTCAAACACCATGTTCCTTTTTTACTTATCACAAAGTTCACCTTGTTTCCGATTCACTGACTCACTTATGAAATAGACCTGCTTAAACCTCATCTTGGCCCACAAGTTTGACTTGGCGGATGACTACCTAGACCCCCAGATCACATTTGTTTGGGAACAACTTTACTAGGCAAGTTTCGTCTCGTTACGACAATGCCTGTCGCTTGCCGACATCGACAGACGGTACAGACGCCTTGGCATCTTTTTTCAACGCATATACTTAACGTCAACACATCTTTTAAACCACCCACAATATTTCAAGTGGTATAAATGGAGTGAAGGAAAAGCTATAATAGGCCTATGCTGGTACGACATCGTACCTTCCCATGATGTTTTTCATTGTCTTCGTAGCTAGCACTGTTGTTGGAGCCATACCACCGTACGCTATGGTGCAATCCTGTACTTCATTAGTACCCGGCTTCAAGACCACTCTCATACCAGCATTGACTATGGCGATATCATCCTCGCGACGTGGAGATTGCTTGTACCCATAGTAATACTCATTCTGGAGTGAAAAAAAGTTCACAGATGTTGTATTATTGCGTTTATCCTTGAGCAGACGTTGGAGCATAAAGTCATAGAAGTTATCGCTCATAAGGAACACATAGGTTGCTGAATACGAATGACCTCAAATATCTTTACTTTGGTTGGGAAGGACTGAGAATGTTTCCGGTAACATATCCTTATTGCTTTTAAAATATTAATGCTACTACTTTTTAGTCTTTCTATTTTCGTAGTGAATTTAAAGAACAATTTTACCTCTGACGTGAAGGGGACATTGATAGCCAAGATAATCTCGTCTGTCTTGATAACATTCTTCCTATATCCGGTGAAGAAGTTGCCGTCCATGTTCACGGTACGTTTACCTTATCAGCGAATTGAAACGGTGTGTGATAATTATTCAGTGATGCTGGATTATTTAGATGAAAATGCTAAAAACAATGTATCAAGGTCCATTGGGTGCATTCATCACATCATTATCTTACCTGAGCTTGAGACAAGTTCAACGGTACACACGGCCGCCATGAGCAGCGGGTTCAGGTCGGAAATGGGACTGCCTGTTGCTATATTACCTCCGATACACTGAAACAAACAAACCCAAAGATAATGATAATGACAGTGTGGTGCTTAAATGGCGCTTGATATGAAACTTCACAATTATTACGGTATCCCAGTGATGTTTAGCTGGCCATGAGACAAACTTTGCAAGTGCAGCTCGGGATCAGCGCAGAAGACTAGTAAAGCATGTTCATTAAAAACTGGTGAATTTCTATACAATAAAGTTGACTAAAAAGCTTGAAAATACCATATGCATGCAGAATGTTCTTTCAAGCAAGGCTATGACCTCAGGGTATACGCTGATTATTTCGTATTGGCTGTTTTTGTCGATTGATCGTTCATTGGGTGATAGTTACATGACGAGTTTATAGTACATGACTATATATAACGCTTTGTGGAGCGCCATGGCCTCGTGCTCTTGGGCAATGAATTCTTGGTCTGCGGGCAATTCTGCAGGCTGTGGGTTTGATTCCAGCCTGGGGTTATGGTGCCTGTGCCCTTTGGGCAAGGCACTTTGTCATTCATTGCTTCTCTCCACCCAGGAGTAAATGCGTACCTGATGGGAGGGCATATATGGTTATTGTGGTTGATTTTAGCTGCTTTGCGCCGAAATGGCAGCATCCCACTGTATATACTCCCCAGGGAGCTGAGATTGTCTTTGGAATGTTTCATTGGCCCAATGAGCAGGGTAATAATGATGTAACGCCTTGAACACCAATACTGGTGAATACGTGCGCTTTTTAAGTACACATTTTATTATTACTTTGTGTACTACGGTTTGTTTCACAGTAATACTCAATAATGGACATAGCAAAGGAAAAAAAACAGAAACGAAGCAAATCTGAACTTACAGCTACGTTTCTGATCTGGTGCCCGGCAAACCAGCGCAACATCTCCACAATGGCTGCAAAGACACGCGTCTTGTGTTCTGGTAAAAGGACAATAATTATGGAGTAAATGTTCAGTTCAATGTAGAATATGGATATTTTGAAATGTTGGCTTAAACATATGGGTCATTCTATAAATTTGGGGTCCAAAGTGTGACATTTTTCCCGTCCCTGTTACCTTGGTACTTTGTAATTTGCCATTCGAGCATCATTAAAAGTGACTTCAAATGATTGTTTATTTGTTGGGTAGGTAGTTTGCTATTCATAATCACTCTTGGAGGATGACTGTATTAAGGAGTGCATCAGAATTATACAATCATAGATGTCAGATGTAACATGGATGGGAAAAAAAGTGGACCCCAAATTTTTGAATGCCATATATACGTTTGCAACCTCTTGCTGTATATAAATAACTTACCTGGTTCCTCCTGTATGATTTCCTTCATATAGTCACCGACTGACGTCAGTGACACAGAAGCGCCAATTCTAACTCCAGAAGGCGTCTTCTCGACGCTAGTCAGCTCAGGGATGTAAGTGATATCGACGAGAACGGGATAGCATTGGTTCTTAAACTTGACTTCAACACCTGGTTAGAAAAAGAGAAAATAACACTTTTAAATCTTGTCAATTCTTATATGAAATAAAGACGTTCAAGAAATGGTCCTGTGATTACTTCGATCGCCTTTGTTACACACTTGAGAGCCCTTGAGTACAACACCGTTGTCCTTAAAATGTGTTGTTCACGTGTTAACAATAATTATTATACAGTTTTTGCCCATAATTTTCACTTTTTAACTGTAATCTGTAAAATAATAATAATAATAATAATCACTGCAAAAAATAAGGCGTGCTATATTTTAGCAGAATTGCTTTCCACCTACCAACTTCTGAGTTGCCTGCCACCACCTTAGCTTGAGGGTTGTTAGCCTTCAATTCCAACAGTTGTCGAAGTGTTACGGGACGGAACCAAGTCACGCGATCGCTTGCAAATTTCTGCATTCTCGGTGTCGTTTCTTTCAAAGTTATCTATGCAAATTGTTTCAGAAATGTTAACATTTGAAACGTGAAAGTTGAAAAATAATAAATGCCTCCAGACATCTTGGATCTGTTCTGACAATGTTTGTCACAGGCATTCTTCAAGTGTACGAATCTGATAGACACCACTATTAAAGTAAGCTGCAATACAGCAATACATATAGTAAAGTCCATACATTTAAAATGCACATTGCTATTTATAGTCAATTTAAGGAGTTGAGAAAGTTTAATCTAGCTACGAGTTGTAATTGGCGTAACTATGAAATAATAATACCAGAGTCTTATATAGCGCACGTATCTACCATCAATTAGGTACTCGAGGCGCTTTTAACTATATTTATTTTTAAAGACAGATAAATGAAGTTTATGAGAAATGTGAGACCCATTATGTAGCACCTTTATAAATGGTATACTAGGTGCTGCGGCGCATATTGCAGCCACTGCCAGGAACACCGGGGCAAACCCCTTCTGGGATACGATTTACTGGGTACTTTAACGTGCATCAAGTGCATCACCTGCTTGACGTCCCATCTGAAGGATGGGAGCAATAATGGTAAAGTGCCTTGCTCAAGAGCACACGCACCATGTTCCCCGTCAGGATTCGAACCCATGTACCACGGCACACGAGTCGAACACTGTAACCATTGGACCACACCGGCCCAAATACATGTAGGCCTACCTACTCAAACTCACCATCAGCTCTGGAGGGAAAATCGATTCTTGGGAGGGGTCGTAGGGCGCGAACTCGCTTGGGTCAAACATTTTCGTCGAAACCTATATGCAACATTTGAAGCAAAATAAACAGAAATAATCAGCGAAATTCTCGGTCAAGGATAAGCAAGAACGTCTGCCCTTATTAATGCACTAGGCAAGAAACAACAATTTTCATTTTTTAGAAATTGAAAGTCACCAGAATCGCCATAACTATGCGCCCACCGAACCACTGAGCTACCGTACGTGACCAATGACTCATGACGTGCCGTCACATTTCTGTTCTGACCAATCACAGCCCCTGTGCGCAGTGGGCGGGGCTTACTGGATCGGTCCGGTCCATTAGTCGATGCGCGCCGTTTTGATTGACAGGCAGGACAAATCCATTGTGTATTGGCTGCAACGTTTCACGAAAGTGTAGTACGGCAGATATATATAGGTGATGGATTGTGCCTTTGATGATACAAGCATGGACATTGGCACACAGTTGCGTCATGAGACAGATCTTTGGCTAAAGGGCCATCGCAGATTTGTCCTTTGAACAAATATAGGTACAATAACAAGCAATGACAGCCATTTAAAAATTTTGACAATTGCTTGTTATTCTACCTATTTTTTTTTCAAAGGTCAAATCTGCGATAGTGTTATAGCCAAATATATTTTTAAGACATACTCTGACTGTGTGCCAAATTTCATGTTTGTGTCATCAAAGGCACAATTCCCCTATCTGCCCCTATATAAAGGAGCCACATCTTCCACCCCCTATCCCTTACAATCACACCTACCCCTTCCTCTTGTCCATCCACGTTACTTGGTACATTCCTACAGCATGCAGCGTTATTCCCTCCACAACATCCTTCCTGCACGGACCAAAACAAATCATCAACAAAACAATAGACTCATGTTACAAAATATTGGGTAAAGGTATTGTAGGTTTTGAGCAACACACAAAGCGAGTTCGTCTATTCAATTTAATGTAACTTTAAGAACTGATGTTAAAGGTTATCCAAATGTCATGCTCTTGGAGTACACATTCCTATAATTAAAACAAAAATGCTTTCCAGCTCTTAAATATTTAGACTGAAGTACAATCACTAAATTGATTCAATAAACGTGATATCTCCAATGTTTCTACCCAGACAATGACGTCATTTAATACAGCGCCTCATTTGCTCAAAACTGGTCTAAAGGTTTCTCAAAAGGTACATACAAAATAATGAAAAGTCAATCGGTGGGTCTATAGATGTCCGTTTTGAAGGTGGGTCTACACTTATTGTAAAAAAAAAAGGTACAGTAATTTGCAGGCAGTCGTACTCAAGTCCCCGGTTTCTGTACTTCCAATTTTTTGTTTACTCCCTAACCTGCAATGCAAACTATCGTCTCATGTTATGTAATTTTAGGTCATATTGTATGTGGAGTGCCGTGGCCTCGTGCATTGAATTCGTGGTCTGCGGGTAATTCTGCAGGTTGGGGGTTCGAGTCGAGTCGAGTCCAGCCTGGGTTGTGGTGCGTTTGTACTTGTGCATGAAACTTTGTCACTATTTCGTTTATCCACATCCAGGAGTAAACTGGGTACCTGTGAGAGCAAAGATGGTTATGGTGATTGATTTTAGCTTCTTTGTGCCGAAAACGCAGCATCGAGCTGTATACTTTCTAGGAGCTGAGATTGTCCTTGGAGTGTTTCATTGGCCCAGTTAGCAGGTTAATAATGATGTTGCGGTTTGAGCACCAATACTGGTTGACAAGTAGGCTTTGTGAATACACATTATACATTATATCAAAGTTTGCCCGTCAAAGAATCAGGAAGTAATTGGACCTTAGTGAACGTTTTGTAGCCTTGTAAGATGGGTCTGTAGCCCGTGCAACGACACAGATTGCCCTCAAAGGCGCTCTCGATCTCCTCCATGGTAGGTTGTGGTCTGTTCCTCAGCAGAGTGTACATAGACATGACAATACCAGGAGTACAGAAACCACACTGGGATCCGTGGGCCTTGGCAAGACGCTCCTGGAGAAAAATAGAAAGAAATATTTCTAATTTGTTTTTATTCTCTGCTTAGTTTTCATGCTTTTTCTTCGATATTTTTGAGGTGCACATACCTGTACTGGATGGAGTCTGGTCGTGGTGCTGCCGATCCCTTCTACAGTTGTGACGGCCATACCATGCACAGAACAGATGGGGGTCAGGCAGGCATTCACTGCAAGGTGACTGCAAAGACAACCGGCCGCATCCCATTAATAAATAGTTAAAACGTGTTACCTGATACTTAAGGTACACATTGCTAAACGCCAGTGTACGTTTTATGGCATGAGGCAAAACATAAAATATAACCAGTACAATTCAAACTAGTAGAGGTTCGCATTTGTTGACTTACAAACGCATATATAGTGGTCGGGCTCGCATCTATTTCATGTCATAAACTTTTGCCTAGATACTATTATCGTTGAAAGCAAGTTCACATATTTTTTTCCACTTTCAATTAATCAGGCACATCCGGTTTGAACAGGAAGGAAAGGTCACGTGATTTTGTACATAATATCAAAAATGAAGACCATGGATTATTCTATACGTTTCTGTAAACAGCAAAATCAGATCTGTCACAGTTGATTTTATATTGATTTTCAAATACTACATCTAGAAATCTTTGGTTGCTTGTAATCTGATACTCGAGGACGTCACAGTGACGTAATCACCAGAAAGCGCGGGAGCTATACTGTGCTTTTTGAATAAAAATCTGGATTATATCTCTCGAGGTTGATATTTCAGCAATTCTTTTAAGGTTTAAAGGTATTTTCATTGTATCTTCCGGTCTGGTGACGTCATCAATCTTTCTCCCCATCAACTTGTTCTTGGCATGAAGCTGATTATATACATCAATTATAAAGTGATTACAGCAAACTTTAAAGTGATTACAGCAAACTTCGCCACTCGCATCAACTGATTATACACTTTAAACATTTTTCAAGGTGCCGCTATCGGGTGCTCTGACATGTTATGTAATTTGTTTCTAAAGTAAACAACCTAGCCAGAGTCTAACATCGTTGAAACAATGAAAGCAAGTTCACATCTTTTTCACTTTCAAATTATAAGGCACTTCCAGTTTGGACCGGGAGAAATGGTCACGTGATTAGCAGAGACAAGATACAATGAAGATCCTGGATTATTCTATCAATTCCCGCAAAAGTCAAATTCAGGTCTCTCACGGTTGATTTATATTGATTTTCAAAGATTAAATCTAGAAATCTTTTCCCCTCCATTAGGGGAAGTTCTCAGTTGTTTGCAAGTCCGATGAGCCATATGGACAGACTTTACTTGGTGATAATACTCTTACCTGATAGTTTTGTCCTTGGGTGAGTATTTGGACACCATGATGGTACATGCCCCACAACCTCCTTCCCCGCATCCTAGCTTACTACCAGTCAGACGTACTTCTCAAAGTCAAGGAATTAACCTACAACAGGTGTTTCTGCCGGTATGCTTTCATTTACTGACTTAATTAGGTCGTATCCGAATCACTTCAAGTGGCTAAGGCTAGTTGTCTAGGTCCTCGTATTGGAACTACGTCGGGGAAATTTCTGACAATAAACGTAGCCGAATCTCTGGAAGCTCGTTTTGGACACAACCTCCCTATGGTTTCCATATCGACGCAGACTGCGCAGACTGCGCAGACAGTGCGCAGAATCGTCGGCATGCGAGATACATAGTTTGCGCCTGTCTGGGTTGTCGGCGACTTTTCCGGATGAACTGTCTCCATTCTGTCTGCGTTGCAGTTTGGGTCTTGTTTGCGTCGCTCTCTGCGTTTCTTATGTCGATATGGAACATAGGCTTAAAGCCTGGTTTCCATATCGACGTTAAGCTTACGCAGACTCGGTGCAGACAGTACGCGGAACCACCGTCGGCAAAGTTTAACCGATCGTCTGCGTGGTAATTTGCGTCTGTCTAGGTTGTCGGCGACACTTCCGGTTGAAATGTTTTCATTATGTCTGCGTTGCAGTTTGGGTCCTGTTTGCGTTTCACTTTGCGTTTTTTACGAATCGATATATGAAAACTCACTCACAAGATATCATTCGTGCGAAGCGATTTCTATTCACTCGCTCGTAATAGAGAATATCAGGCCATTAATTGGCATCTAACATTATATGTGCCCCAAAAATACTCGGTTTTTCTCCGTCTAATAAATAACTGGCTATCCTAGAGTGCACACTGACTAACATGCTTGGAAAGATTCCCATGATCTGGCCATCACTTAGTTTCCCCTTAAATGACCTATCAGCCATCAGAAAGTGATAATATGCCATAAAAAGTCAAAATTAGCAGTTACAAATTTTTAATTTTTACTGAGAAAGACCAGTCCCATAGGGTTTATGCACAAGGTAAAAAGTGATAGCCAAGAATCTTTCCACATGTTTACATAAACAGTATACAAACTATACATTCCATTATTTGCGTAGTGCATCATCACTATACATGTATAATCAATTTGGCCATTGATTATAACCTTGGTTCAAAAGTGGCGTCGTTTAAGTTAACATTACGTCACACTTACTAAACGGATGGGTTTCAGCCATTTTAAATATCAAGAAATATACGTGCGTCGGAGAGCATCATCTGAATAAAAAAAATCTAAAGATATTATGCGCCCCCCCCCCCAAAAAAAAATTATAAAAAAAACAATGTCAACCAAAATTGTGAAAAAAAAATTATGGAAATCGACCGAAGAGTTTATAGGATTAATCAGAGGAAAAACCTAGCTCCCACGTCCTGAGAAGATTTGCAAACCCAGATCGGACAGGTTCAAAGGGCATGTTGATCTAACCACTATGGATCACGTTTTATACGTCAGATCATTGTCGTTGCCACCCGATATATGCAGCGAACAAATATTAGGTAACAATCCTGGATTTCTGTGCAAACGAATCAGATAACAATTATCACGGACTGGATTTCTATGTAAACTACGGTCTCGTTGTTGATCGTCGCACTGCTCTATGCACTCACACATACTTGATTAATTGACTTTCTTATATTATCAGCTGTGGGCCACACACCTTTAAATTAGATAGGAATATTGGTTGTTAGGATGTGGAATTTGCTTTTTAGGTCACACAAAGATGGACTTTGCTTCCTGCCTGATTAACGTATTTTTGATGCAAACATAAAAAAATAACTGCGAAATCATTATGACACTTTAATACCGTATTTGACTGTAAATAATGGCACTTGGTGTGCTGTCATTTTTAAGAAAAGTTAAATTGTGCATCAATTGCTAACGATGGTCGCCCGACCATCATTGGAGAAAACAAAACCTGATTTGTTTTCGTCTACTGCCCCCAATTTACAAAATCTAATTCTGATGACAAGTCAGCATTTTGTTTGCAATCGCTCAACAACTGTCAACATCTGTAGACTGTACTACAGTACACAATATCTTTATTAACAACCCTGGTTTAGCCTAACAATGTGATTTATAAAATCCACTTTTCTTTTAAAAGACGGGCCTTCTAAAGGACTCTGTTGAATATTTTTTTACTTTTAAACTGAGGTTTAATCGCTTGTGAAGTTTGAAGACAATTGCGACGACGATTCTTGAAATCGCATTTTTGGACGAAAGAGGTTCTAGGGTCATAAGTTTAAAAGGTGATGTCCTTTGTAAGCCAATTGCGGTAATTTATTTTCATCTAAAAGTAGCTTATGAGTTTGGCTTTCCAGTCATAGTGTTTGGTGCTACACTCCTTTTTCTAAATATGAAATAAAAATTTGGGGGTGTGGGTTCCGCTTTTTTGACTCGACCTGTCCAACTCAAATAAGGTTTAGGCCAACATTCTGCAAAATAAAACTAAAACCCATAATGTGTTCCCGCCAAAGCTGCAGAACTATACAAGCAGCGCGCGAAATGGAACAACGTTTATTTCGAAAGGATACACTTGTTGCGAAGATACGTCAATAAAGTCATTGCTGGATCCACATGATGATCAACGACCTGTATTATCAAAGACGAAAATGTCTTGGACTTCAAGTGGTCTGATATTTGCATTGCAAGGTTACATCTTTTGTACTTTTCAATATTTTGTACTCTTTGCATACAACCAAAATCACAACTGTGTGCCATGTCTATTTTTCGGCTTCACACGGTTACACCTCTATGTTCCGACTCCATTCCTATTCCTAACCCTAACCCTAACCGGGAGTAACACAATGTTATGTGCGGGTACGTTGTCGAAACATAAAGGTGTCGGAACATAATAGTGCAGTCATCGGCTTCCGCAACTCCCTTCAAAAAAGACTTCAATTTTGGAGGCACATGGAGGCAATTGCAGAATACCCCGCCACTCGATTTCGTAGCCGGGAGGTCACGGTTGGTTGACCTCAATAAACTTCTCAGCGCTACTTGTATGTACATGTACTATGCGTCCGCATGCTCCATTGCACTCCCACCTCGTAGCCGCGTAGCCGCCAACAGGGTAGTTGGTTTGGACTTAAGAATTTTTTCAGCAACTCCCATTCCTTTGGCCTAAAATGTTGCCAATATTGCATCAATACATCAATCCTTTGCCAAGTTGGTAAATGCCAAAAGGTGAAACACTTTCCATTGGTATAAAGTGCAACTCGAAATCGGGGAAAGCAAGTGTTTAGTAAATTTACTCGGCATAAAAAGAGATAAGGTATCAGAACTAAAGAAGCAGTGGGCCTACCTTTTTCCCATTGCAGAAAAATAACAGTGTGTCCACCGCATCTCCCATTTTGGCCACTGTTCTTTGGATACTGAGTTGAAGCATAGAGCAGCAAAACCCCTGGACACTGGTTTTAGATGTTCATCCGGCACTCGTCAGTATAAAAATGCGATATTGCGGGCAATGTATAATTATGTATACACATGTATGTACCAGAGCGAACCGGCTTGGACCCGTTTATCCTAGATGATAGTCAAAGCGTGATATTGATTTTCGTATCAAAAGCCAACAACCTTTTATCAAATCCTTTGAGGTCAAAAAAAAGACCCCATGTAAACCGGCCAAAAGTGCACAGCCAGATGACCTTGGACAAATAGAGATAATCTCCCGTGCATACACACTAGCACTGCCTAGCACGTGTACAATAATCAGACCCTACGCGCTGAGCCATGAGCAACGTCAAATTTTATTGGAGTTTAGATGAACAATTATTTTGTAAATGGATACACGCGAGCCTAAACCTCAACCAATCACAATAAGAGTTACATTATTGGAAAGCTGACGAGACGAAGAAAAATGATTCGAGAGATCTAAGCTCCCAGGTGGCGCTATTTAATGTTGTGATGATGTTAATGTACCAGTTCTTGGCTAAACGCGTGGTTTTACACACAAAACAGGGAGATTTTTGACCAAAAAATGCAGTGTTTAACATCATTTCGCGAGTGAAAATCAGTGTTTTATTCAGTTTTTCTTTCATTTTCTGAAAGAGTATATTGTTAGGGTCATACTGTAGTGAGATCTAAAGGTATACTCTGTCGAATAATGAAGTGGTGGCGACAGATGTGAAAAAAGGCCAGTTTTTAATGATATTTTCGCCGTGTTCTCTCATAGAGGTACGTTGCACATAAAAACCGGCCCCGGTGGGTTAGTTCCCGAAGGAATCCATATTGTTCAACCTTATCTAGTTTATTCATAGAGCAAGGAACAGATTTTACTACAATGTACCATGGCCGTTAATTAAGCAATTGTGCTATCAAGGTAGCCTTCAGTTGACCAATGCACAAAGCCCCGTTTGACCTCAGTTTCGTGTCCCGAGGTCACGCACGCATGGCCCAAAAGCCTACGCGAGATTTTACGAGACTGTTTTCGAGACTACAGAAAAACACGCAAAGTACCTGGATACATGCACTGTTTGGCCGAGATGGCTAGGTTAGTGAAAAGTTGAAATTGTGTGCTTTATTTTGATACCAAATATAACTGCTTTTGACAAAAAGAAAGTGTTGTTACGACGTGTCAAACAAAAATCATAGTTTATAGCAACAAATGAGAGGGCCGATAGCTATTAGGTGTACATTCGATTTTTTAAAAAGGCCGAAAGAAATGGCAAGGTTCATTTGATACTGGATAATAGTCTACGCTTCATCTTCATGTACGCGTGTAAACGTATAGGCCTGAAAATTGTAAATAGCACGCGCGAACGTGCAATGAATGACTCATGAATATTAAGCAGGCCGGCTATCTCGAGCTCGACCAATCAGTGGGAATTGTGGAGTCACAAGGTCACCATGTCTGGGTTCCTTAATTGCTCTGGTTCTGGTCGTTACGCACAGGTCGGTACGGAAGCAACCTCGTCCCCAGGGTGTCGAGCAGTACGCGCCCACCACTACCTGCTCTCTCACCCTGGTATTGGATCATTTGCATGTGCAAGATTTTTGAACACGTATGCAAATTAGGAGAAGTCTGGTGCCAGCCTGTGCGTTACATTTGCGTTTGTTTTTGTATGCGGTGTCTGGGGTAAAAACAGAATCAATTCGTCGCAGCGCGAGGCATGGCGTGAGTTACGAAAACATGATTTTATTTTAATTAAACTGTAACGATCTTAACGAGACAACATACAGTATCACATTTCATATTAATATTAACAAACTGGAAAGGAAATGAATATTTTCGAGAAGGCGTGGACGAATGATCGCGAAAACACGTACTGCACGTTGTGAATAACAAGTACACGATATAAATCCATTTCTAGCCAATGGCGGTATCGACTTCGGAATCAGGATGCAGGAAGTTTCCTATCCAGGGTTTACTATTGGAAACAACGTTGGAAATAAAGCACTGGGGACGAGGTTGGTACGGAAGCGTATAATATATGTATAGGTCGGAGTGGTTGGCGCAGTGAACTAAATTTTAAAGTGGGCCTTCTACTTCTAGGTGCTCAATTCCCTTTTTAAAAGCTTTGACATTGGGAGCAGAGCGAATGTTGGGTGGTAGTAGGTTCCATTCCCTTGTAGTTCTTGGGTAGAGTGGATATTGATAGCACAGTTTGTTGAAATTTGGCGAGACAATGATGTAAGGATCGAAGTTCTGTCTTGTTGCATGATTGTTGTTACTCAGTATTGTGGACTTCCTTGCAGATTGTTGTGGGTGCAACCCTGCAATTAAATTCCCATAGACACTAGTGCTAAATGCCCATACTTCAAAATTCTTTTAAAAATACTCAAAACTCGCACAGGTATTCAAGCTGCACAGAAAAATGATGATCAACATGTCATCTTTCGTTTTCTTTTCATTTTTTGTGGGTTGACCATTGACTTTTTGAGATATTCTCACCCAAAGAAGACGACCCTATTTTCCCCAAGGCGGAAAAGTAGCCATCTTGAAAAACGATCCCTCCACAACATGGCAAAATAGCGCCACTTTCGAGCCCAATAGCATCCAAAATGTTCAGAATTGGAAGCCCCAAGTCTCTTCAATTCCCCAATTTTAAGGCGCTCAGAACTCTCTAATAATAATAAAGAATATTTTGAGGGTATATACTTTTATTCATGAGCTCGGCGGATGGATTTAGGCCTATTTACCGGTGTGCACCCTTGTCAGTCGTAGTCGGATCTGCGTAGTTCGAGGGTGTCCCACTGAGAAGACAGCATGCTGTTAACCCTGGATCTCCGCTTAATTGTAATCATTACATACGAAGCGCTAGCGCGGGGCTGCTCGCCGTTGTACCTTCTCCAAGTTCATCTTGTTGTTGTTGTTGAAGGGATCTCATGCGGTTCCACAATACATGTACATTTGTACTCCAGTTTGGGTCTTACTAATGACTTTGACGGATTTACTGCATTCGTGAAGATTTCTTTTAAGAAGGCCGAGCGTTCTGTTAGCTTTCCCAGTCACTTGATTTATGTGTGTGCGCTTTTACAATGTGCTTAAAAAGTTTTAATAATATGGCGACGATCTTTTCGCGTTATGAAAAATCGAAGTTGTTGAAAACATTAGGTGCACATCGAATTCTTAAAATATTTACATTACGTTCACGTAATAGATGATGGTTCATTCTTTCCTGTGATTACTCGTCGTTGTCGAATAAAAACGGAAATTTCATCACGTAATTTTTAGTCGATTTGTCTGTGAAATAATATTGTCAAAATCCATCTAATTCCTTTTTTTTTTTAGAAAAAATACTTTGACAGATCATGGAGCAAGGAAAACTTGCTCCATGGACAGATGTATATGATAGGTCTTTAACTACCTAAAACAGCTTTGTTTGTGTGGATCGGTTGTGGTCTGCCATGAAAATCGCGAATTTTCTGAAGCCCTTTTTACGGCCATCGTTCGCTGGCCTCGCGTTGCTGTCAGTTGTGTGGACGAGAAAATATCTAGAGCAGTTTCACGCGTGACACAGCAACTGACTGTGTGCGTGACACGGCCACTGACGGTCCGTGTGACTTCCACGGCAATACTGTTCGTCCGTGTACAGTGTGTCCGGGCCGGCGCGGGGCGTATCGCACAGCTTCCCCCGCCCCCCCCCCCCCCCCCCACCCCCCCCCAGACACGTTCCCCTGTGATTTTTTGTCAATTGTTCTACTATTGTAGTAATGATCATTAGTGCTACTTCAGACAGTCATTAACAAAGTAAGACACACTGAGCAATTTCATTTCGAGAAAAAATCCACACATTTTATTTTTATCGATAAAGTACATATGCAAACAATGCTCATAACATGAATAACATGAATGACTACATGTACAAGTACCTTCAATTGCTTGATTGTACATGCACTCTTAAATAACAGTGGATAAGCCATAAACAATGTGTGAACAGTGGAGAATGTTTTTTTTGGGGGGGGGGGGGACTTTTCATATTAACACCCCTATCTCTGAATATCCTATTTACAATTACAGTCAGCTCATTCATACAAAAAATACTGTACAGTCAATTTCAAATGAGGCCCTAAAACATGTAAAACAGGGAATAATAAACTGCTTTAAAATATTACATACATGTACATGACTGTATATCTACAAGATCTACAAAAGAAACAAATGGCCAATGGTTTGCAATACCGGTACATATAAGTGAACTCTTTGTGTGATTGAAGCAGATTTGCTGTTAAGGCTGTGCATCGGAACCGGGTACCCAAGTACCAAACTGCCCAAGTTGGGGACCGGTTCCAGATTATGGAATTCAGAACCGTAACAAGATTTACCAATGGAGTACCGAAGTGTGACGTCATTTAGAACCAGAAAGTGTAGTGCAAATGAATGGAGTACGCACACGTGTTGGTTCACAGGCTGAATCACGCGCTTAATGTCTTTTACACACATTTTGTGCGCGTGACGTTTTCACTTCGGTACTCCATTACAGTAATTAGTAACTTGTCAGATGATGTAAAAGAAAGGTTTGGATGTCATTTATGGGTTATTTTCAGAATGGAAACCAGGCCACATGGAAATGGAAAAACAAAGCAGATTCACGTTTTAAGACGTTTACGAAATTGCAATTTACATTGTAAAGTTCAAGAGCTCACTGTACACACTTGTAATTTCTGTATTGACGTGATACCTGTAGTATTTCATTAGGACTTCTATAAATAATCTGTACAGCAACTTCCGAGATATAAATTTTGGGGTTGGGTTTCCCAACAGGTACCCGGGTACCCGTTTTTTTTTCAATCGGGTACCGGGTTCCCGATTCCCATACCACCACTATGCAAACCCCTATTTTGCTGTTGATTCAGTTGATGAGCACAAAGGAAAATGGGGAAGAATTCCATACAAGGACATCACTAATTTTCCCCTGCAGTGTCTATCAGCCATCAGAAAGCGATAACATGCCCTAACAATTTAAATTTAGCAGCTAAAATATTGAAGCATTACCGAAAAAACTCTTGGAATTTTGCAGAACAGTCTCATAGGATTTGTGCACAGGGTGTCAAGTGATGTCCAGGTATGGAACCCTCTCTGAAAAGTGTTCACCATGCTTTAAAAATATCAAAATACATCATGAAGTTTGTTGAAGACTCGTGTCATTTCGCACGACATTTTGGGTATCACTTTACCCCAACCTTCCCAAATCCTCCCAAATCCTCTTTGCAAAATGGAGGGTTTTGCAGGATTGAGACTCCATGGCAAAAGTGTGCTGCTGATTTCGGAGGACGCACTGTGTCAAGGACTTGGGCCGGACCTTGTGTTGTTTATGCTTATCCTTGCATAAATTTAGGCCTACAATTATACTTGAAATCCTCCGCACTGCTCCAGGATGTCACTGGCTTTGCCTCAACATACATTGTAATGACAGTGATTGCCGGAGGATTTTGCAGCATTGAGGCAGTAGTCACTCCTCCAACGACCATATTCAAGAAAACAACGGAGCATTTTGTAGGATTGAGGCTGTATTCATTTTTACATGGAGGCAATTGGAGGATTTTGCAGGATTAAGGTTACATCCTAGCAAAACTGCCTAGGGAGATAGGGTTAAATTGACACCTCTTGAGCAAATGCTAGCAAACTATACACAGACTCAACAGCTTCAACAGCCTCAAGGGATGTTTCACATACCGGAGCCGGTAATTGTTTGTCCTTCCTCTTTGCCTTCTTGTCTGTCTTTTTCTTCTTGTGAATCTTTCCTTTAGTCAGGTCCTGGTTGTAGAGTTTCACTGCGGAGTACAACCTCTCGGACATGGTCCTGGCCGTCTGCTTCAGGCCCTCAAAGCTGGCGTCGTTCAAACCCTGCTGAGCCGGCGCGCTCTTCAACCACCTCCGTAAGCAGCGGTCGCTCGGCAAGGCGAACAGCTTGAGCTTGCGATAGAACCTGTAGGCCGCGGGGCTCTGGCAGAGCAGAGCGTAAGCCTTGCGTTTGTCACTATTCGTGTAGCGTCTACCCTTGGTTCGTTTTGTCCCGATTTGCAGCTGACTTTCAAAGAAATGCAGGGTGGTTTCGTCGAGGTATTTGGCCGATTCTTCGACGATGTCTTTAACCGTAACAGTGGGGTCTTTCGTTGTTTCAGCGCTGGCCTTTAAAACTTTGACCTTCTTTTTGAGTCGAAATATTTTGACCCGGTCTGTGGACTTTGCGAGATTGCACATTGTCGCAACCTCTGCAGTGTCTGGAGGGGCTTCTGTGAGTGTGAGCACTGAAAAGAGACAAGTCAAAACAAAATACAGAAGCGTTATAACGCCTCAATTGAGAAATAGCGATCATTTACGGAAAAAAAGGTAAAAAAAAAAAAAAAAAGGTGAAAACTTTCTAGTTGAAATTGCTCAGACATTTAGCCCAACCACCCTGAATCCTTCAAAATCCTCTTTGCCAAAGTGGAGTGATTTGGAGGATTGAGTTCACATGGCAAAAGTGCGTTACTGATTTTGTAGGATGCACTTTGTCAAGGTCTTGGGCTGGACCTTGTCTTGTTTTTGCTCAGCCATGCATATATTTTAGCCTGGATTATGCTTGAAATCCTCCGTACTGCTCCAGGATGTCACTGGCCAAGCCTCAACATATTGACAGTCACTGCCGCAGGATTTTGCAGGATTCAGGCAGTGGTCACCCCTCCACGGACCATATTCAAGAAATAATGGAGGAATTTGCTGGATTGAGGCTATATGCTATTTTTCGATGAGGCCAATTGGAGGATTGTGAAGGAATGGGCTACATCCTAGCAAAAAGGCCTGGAGAGTTAGGGTTAAGAATGAATGAGACTGGAAAATAGGGCAGTGCTTCGTAGCTGACTGAATTTATCACATGGGCAATTCCACGGTTACTCACGTTACATTTTTGACGTACTTTTGAGTTTCCTTGAGCTGTAATTACCTTACTGAAAAGGTTTAATAACTGTTATCCCCATGGTAGATGGAGTAGACATAGACCTACCTAAGCACCAAAGATGACATCCAGAAAAATGTGTTATGTATGATAAACAAGACGCACAAAATCGGTTACTCACATTACATTTTCGTAACGTGAGTAACCGAGTTTGTGCGTCTTGGTTATCATACACATTTTTCTGGATGTCATCTTTGGTGCTTAGGTAGGTCTAGGTCTACTCTATCTACCATGGGGATAACAGCTATTAAACCTTTTCAGTAAGGTAATTACAGCCCAAGGAAACTCAAAAGTACATCAAAAATGTAACGTGAGTAACCGTGGAATTGCCCACATGACAAATTCTGTTGTTTCTCTTTTCGAATGGAAAAAACATGATGAAAAGTAGGCACCGGTACTGTAAGTTCAGGTTTGTGAGGAAACATCACTTCGGGCAATGCTTAACCTCAGGGGCGTATGACATACATTGTAACCACTTCTATGACGTATTTCCAACAACAACAAAAACAGCTTTAAATCCCATGCATAATTTACTACATGTACATGTAGGAACCATACCCATCGTGGCAAACTCCAACACAATATGTGACCTACTGTGGCAAAATGAGGAATGTCTCCTAAAACCATGTTATGAGTAATCAACGCCTGAAGTTGCATGCACTAGAAATATCATGTCAAAATCGATATGTTTTTTTTTTCTTATTTTTGAGTAGCCAAGGAATCCAAGACTCACACTATGTATTTTTGTTCGGAAAAAAATACTCCCAAAAGCTGGAAACTGAAGAAAGTTTTCAACTGCCGTTGGAGGCGAAAATGCATATCGTCATCGACACCACGAAGTAACACTCTACCGTGTTAAACCATACTTTTTTCGATTTTCAGTTTTGGATTTTTAAACATTATTCATCAAGGCCTACCATTGCACAAAGTTTCAAAGCTTCAAGAGCTTTACTTTAATAATTACGCTAAGTATCCATGGCAACTTTTGCGCAAAAGTGACAATTTTTGTTTTCATGAAGTAACACTCAAGTTCCATTTACCATTGCAATGCATGGCGCGCACTCTGCTCATAAGTGAGCAAAAAGGTTTTCACGAAGTAACACTCTTCTTGTAATAAGTTGTATGAGCGCGCGCGCTGACCTGAAATTGCACTTTCCTCGTGTTGAATACATTGAAGAGTGTTACTTCGTGAAAACGAAAATTTACAGTTTCGCAGCCTTTTCAGTTTCACGAACTAACAATCATCTTTTTCCTCTTATTTCTTGTTTATTTAATAAACAAACGGGTGTAAAACAGCAGATTTAATAAATTCAATTCATCAAGTGTCCACAACAAGAAACCCAACTGAAAATACTCTGTCGTTTTGACGCAAAGTGTTGTTTTAGAAGGCGTTCCAACTTTAGTTGCCGTTTTCTCCGATTGCTAGTTTTTACTGGTATGTAGATGGGTGTTACTTCGTGGTGACGATATGTCTTTTTTCAAAGCTGTTTTTCTTGAAATGAGGTTGGTGAAGCTCGGCGGGACACTGTTGAAGTTCTTGTGGCATATCTTTGGCATAAATTAAGCTACATAAAACAATTTGGTATCAATAGAAAGCCAATGATTTGCGCTTTAACATGGTGTACGTAACTTGAAAAGTCAACAGGTGGGGGTTATTCCTCATTATGACATGGCAGGTCAGATATGGGAAACTACACAAACCCTTTTTCTGACTTTGATCCTGGAGGTGTGCCAACCCAATGTGAAAGACTGTCAGTTTAGGGGTACCGTACCCATCCTGACAGATTCCAACAAAACATGCCATTGGGGTTTGATGGGCTGGGGTAGGTTACTGGGTTAAGGCGGAGCAATTTGGTTTTTTTTTGTTAGGAAGATTTCCCATACCTGGATCAGTCTGTGAAGGCGTGGATTGTAATTGTACATCACACCTGCTGGCCTCACTGGTAGTGCTTGCCTCACTGGTAGTGCTTGCCTCACTGGTAGTGCTTGCTTCACTGGTAGTGCTTGCCTCAATGGTAGTGCTTGCCTCAATGGTCGTGCTTGCCTCACTGGTAGTGCCTGCCTCACTGGTAGTGCTTGCCTCACTGGTAGTGCTTGCCTCGGTAGTTTCTGTGGCCCTCGCATAGCTGTGGTCTGCTGGATCTTGTTCCGTATCCGGGCTCACGTCTAAATATTAAAGCGATGATAGTAAAGCGAGTTAGTAAAACATGCTCAACAAATGCTACACTATAGATCCTCAGCTAAGGCCATTCATAAATATATACAGTCGAGTCTCATTAATACAAACTCGTTCGGACCTAGCCAAATTGTTTGTTACATGTATATCGGAATTTTGTATTAAGAGGAACATCAGTCCCATTCATTGTGCACATAAATGCACAGTCGGGACCAAGGCCTTATGTTTGTTATAACCAGAATTTTGTATTAACTGAGTTTGTACTAACGAGAGTCGACTGTATGTGCTTGGTCAGTATTAATCTCTCTGTTTAAGACCGCTTGGAGTCTGGGTGCTGATAATTACCCGAGCCTTCGGCTCGGGTTATTATCAGCACCCAGACTCCAAGCGATCTGAAACAGAGTGATTAAAACCTCCCAAACACACATTTATTCCCTTATTTAAAAATTCTGACATCGACGGTGCTGATGTACGTGTACTGTAATAGACACACATTTCTCATCATACCTGAATCTTGCTCACATGTCTTTTCGGGGCTTCTTGTAGTAGTAGTAGTAGTAGTAGTAGTAGTAGGCCCAGTGCTTCCGGTACCAGCACCTCTTCTCGCTCGCTTTCGCTTCGGAGGCAAGTCCGAGACACTGAACACAGTGGGAACTGCATTCCACACCAGTCTTCCGGTGCACAGGATTTGACGTTTTTCAAAATGCTCGGAGCATATCCTGCAGTTTCTGTAGCGGTAGTCCGCTGGCCTGTCACGTAGGTCATCTCGCCCTGTTGATACCACCCACTTAGCAGATCTGCGACCACAAAAAAATGGGGTACAGGACACATTAATGTCACTGATATTGTATACAGTGGAACGTCGCTATACCTGATATCGCTGTACCGAACATTCGGCTATACTGAACTTCGTACTTGGCTTCCGATTCTTGTGAACAAAACATACATGTACCAAACATTGTTGTTAAAAAATGCTAACAGAAGAGCAACTAAGAGGTTATTATTTCCAGACATCTGTCTGTTTGTCTTTCCACGACATCGCACCAGATGAAAATTAAAACCACTAGCGCACCTGAAAGCAGTATGATACCCACATACACCGTGCACTCTGCACAAAGGCATGTATGCAGACGACCAGTGGGTAGAGCAATTTCGAAAATCTATTGTGATGACGGGACGCGCTTCATGGGTATTAATAATACGTACAGAAGACATGCATGACAGCTGTGGCAATGGACGTTTTCTGGAGAATCGCCACCAAAATCATCAACAAATTCCATATTGTAGTCTTTCTTGTTCTGTTTGAAGTCGTTTATTAGCTTCATGAATGACTGCTGCATGGTATGAGATATGGATTTTCCTAAATCCCAATCTGGGTTGGGATAATACTAGAAGAAAAATTGACCATTTTTGTAATACACTAGACGATATACGGTCCTGGCTTTCGGGCCTCTTAAGTTACGATCTACTTGCCGCTAACGTACAGATAGTAGTGCCTCCAGCTCTAAATGCGATAAGCACTGGAGCTGGAGTTACTCAAGCTATCTCAACATGACTCATGAGCTGTCGCGCAACTACAGTGGAACGCCGCTATAACGCACATTGTGGGATCCACCGAAAGTGTTTGTAATAACGATCGTTCGGTACAGCGAGTTTGAACCGCCGGTACCCTCTTTTGACCAATAGTGAACTGCCATTTCTGCACATTTCGCGGCCGCACGAGGAGTCGTCATGAAACTCAGAAAGGGGTGGTTTTCCCGTTTATTCCTTGAGGAAATAATAGCCATCTATCGCTCTTAACATTTAAACATGATATAGGCCTAACCATGGGTCGTTTGATGTTCGGGAATTAAAAGTGGCCCAAACAGTGTTTAATACATGAACAACCGGTAGAGTTTTTGTTAATCTGTTGACTTTTTCCAACAACAATGTTCGGTACGTTTTGTACATTAAAACCGGGAGCCAAAGATGATGTTCGGTATAGCCGAATGTTCGGTATAGCGGTGTTCGATATAGCGGCGTTCCACTGTATATTAAATAGCATTCCTCAAGTTTTAGGTTTTTAAATCGAATCATTCTTTTTATTAAAAACTTTGGCAACAGCTCAATTCCAACCTAAGTTATGGCTTCGATACGTAGATGATACATTCATCATATGGCCACATGGCCCGGACAAGCTTGATGGTTTCCTCCGCCATCTCAACCAACAACACCCGAGTATACAATTCACCATGGAAACTGAGACATCCGATTCATTGCCTTTCCTTGATGTACTCATTTCCAAACGGGCCGATGGTTTACTTGGACACTCTGTGTACAGGAAACCTACACATACAGACCGATACCTCAATGCTCATTCATTCCACCCACCATCAGTGAAAACCTCGGTGAACCGCACCCTACTTCGAAGGGCACATATCATCAGTGATGATGAACACCTACAATCCGAACTGAAGCACCTCAATAAAGTGCTAAGAGACAATGGGTACAGACCTAAGAATCACAGCCTCGCACCGGATTCGAGCATGTCTCAGACCCTGAACACACCCGATATGCCGGTTGCAGTCCTTCCGTATATTGGCCATGCATCACACAAGATCCAGCGAATCCTCCGTGAAGCCAATATTAAGGTCTACTACCGAACTCGCAATAAACTCGAAACGAAATTGTACACCCACAAAGACAAGCACAACCCGAGAAGTCAAGCAGGAGTTTACCGAATTCCTTGCTCATGTGGCAAAGTGTACACTGGCGAGACTGGCAGAGACCTCACTACCAGGCTTAAAGAACACATAGCTCACGGCCGCAGAGGGGAACTTGACAAATCGGCAATTGTCAAACACTCTGCTGATCTGGATCATGTTGTTGATTGGGAACAAGCGGAAATCATAGCCCCAGAGAAACACTGGTACACCCGTCGTATCGGAGAAGCTATTGAGATCCACAAACATGACACTGTCCCACAAGATATCGGCTACTTCATAAGCCACATATGGCATTCAGTTATTCCAAGTTGCAACACCCGTGGCTCACAGCCAACTGACACACCTGAGCGAGCAGGACACTCAGCGGGCATCCCTCAACACAATGCCCAAGGCTCACAGCCAACTGACACAGTTGAGCGAGCAGGACGCTCAGCGGGCATCCCTCAACACAATGCCCATGGCTCACAACCAACTGACACACCCGAGCGAGCAGGGCATGCCCAGCAAGCACTCCTAATCCTAACAAACCCTACTTAAGGAGTAGCATCTCCAACTATCTTCAGTCTCCTGACAATGACTAGAGCAGGCTAGTCGAAACGTTGAGACCAAAGACAAGTTCTTTTAGAACTTACAGCAGGACTGTTCTAAACGGAACAAAAAAAACTACTTAGCAAGTTGATAATAAGCAGGACAAGTTCTTCTCAGAACTAATATCTTCTAAGCAGTAGTTATTACCACATGGTGTTACCGGGCAAAACCGAAACGATACGTATAGGCCTAATACCCAAACGCGAGTTTAGACATTTCCTATACTGCCCCACACAAAATTGTCATTCAAACGATTGTTGCTCTGTTCCAAACAAGCCTTGTCAGCTTTAAATCACTCCTAGATACATAAGTATGGATACATTTTCATTTCATTTCATTAAAAAATGTAAACATATCTACTAAAACGCACCTCACTTCTTGCAAAAGCAGAAAAAAAATCAGGCGATCGTGTAGTGCACGGTGTAGTGTAGGGCCCCTGTTTTGTTTTGATCAAATTAGAGTCAAAAATGTTTTATATTGCTCAAAAATAACCTTTACAATCAAAAGCAACTTTTCTTCATTCTAATCTAATGACACCCATTTTCCAATTTTGAACAGTTTCTTTGGGTAGAAATCACGATTTTCCTGCGCGGTTTGTGCCTTGCGATTCAGCGCGCTGTGCATGCTCACTTTATTTTCAGGTTGCGTGTTGTCACTGTCATCGTCATTTTACCCCCAAATTTCCCTCAAAAAATCAATACCCTGCCCTATATCTATGAGTATGAGTCATACCTGTTTATTGAGAATGTCGCCAACTAGTTTGGTCGGTCTTATAATTTTAAAGTGGATTTTGTTACCTTATTATAGGAACCGGGGCCTACACTACACGATCGCCGTAAGTTGTTACAGAACATGCAGGAACGATGCATCAGCATACCATTTTCTCTGGTTTTGTACTATTACAAGCGTTAATTTGATGTTAATTTGATGCATCTTTTGAAAATTATAATTTTTGGGTAGGCCTATAAGGACCTGGCTTTCGTTTTTAATCCCTGGAAATAGTTTTAGAGGATTTTTTTTTAAAGGGAAATAGTCCGGGGACCATTGATGTGATAGTCTGTTTGACGTTGAATAATAATATTACGTCAGGGAACCAGACAATTCCGTAACGTATTTTGATCGCGCGATATTTTTATGGCAGTGGATATTTTGCCGGAGACGGCAAACCTTTAGTAAACGTTAGTTTGCCGGATATGCACTGAACATGCGCAGTTACTGTTTTTTTGTACTTAAACATTTTCCGGTGACAAATTTCAGTCTGGCTCCATGCCAATATTATCGTAGTAACCTCGTATTCACAAGATGGGATTCAGACCATTTTATAATTTCGGACTTTATTTCCCTTTTAAAAAAAATCCTCCGGACCCACAAATCTGAAAAAGAAAATGTAAGACTCTGCAATAAAATGTTTGAGACATGTTAAAATAATAAAAGAAGAATATTCTTATTTATTTGGGGATGGGAAAAAAATCTTAAAAATGTGGCGGGGATCGGTTTCGAACTCGAGTCTTCCGCAGTAGAGCTTTTGCTTAAGCCTTAACCACTACACCAAACGTGCTACACAACTTTTAGTGGGAATTTAATACATCTTATAATTCAGCCCTATCTTAAAGAGTACAGCGCCCTCTGTTGATATGGATTGTCGCCGGCAAATCTTTAGTGAACGTTAGTTTGCCGTCATTACCTCCGGCAAAATATCCACTATCTATTGGCATTTTATTTTTATTGTTTAGCTTCGCCTTACCTCTCACTGTCTTTTGGAAAACGGTAGAAAGAGTTATGTGGTGTTTTCTTCGGATTATTGGTGCAATTAGGTGCGGAGCACCAAACCTTCGCTCTTTTCTCCGGCATAGTCATGATTGTGCACTTACGACAACAAATCTTCAAACTTCGGTACTCCAGACATGTAGTATAGCGCCACCAAGCGGCCTTGGAAATAAGACAGGCCCCAATCTGATCCAAATTTCCTACCATCATCATTCGCTTTACGGGAGTCTGGGTAGCAAACTATTAATAATTGACCTTGGGAAGTTGGAAAGTCCCACGTGTGTACATATACGTGTTGTTTGACCAGGCTGATCTTGGCACGAAAATCGGGCCGGATTTTCGGCTGGCCGGATTTTTGGCTAGGCACTATTTTTACGGCGGCGCACCGCCGTGAGGATTAATTGCCACTACGGTGGCCCTAAACAGTCATTGCAAATGCACATTAGGAGAAAACGAATTATAAAGGAAGTTCAACTTCTTATCACGGTGGATTACCTTAAATAACTGAAAATGTTGTTTATTCGACTCTAAAGTAAATCGTAATGAAGACTGTGGCAATTGTTTTTCACAATCGGGAATGTTAATGTTATAAATGTTAACGTTACTGAACTAAGGTTCTGCCTTATAGCCGATGAGAGGGCGCTATATCCGCCAGACTACTCCTTGAGTAGTGTTGCGTTGCGGGAAGGACCGGGTCCCATGCATGAGTCCCGGGGGGGGGGGGGTTGCCTGATTTCATATCTTTCTTTCCTGTTTTTGCAAAACTTTCCATTTTTTTCATAGAAATTAATACTCATAAGGCCTGGCCGTGATCATCTTTTCCCAAAATACATGGTTGTTTAGTGCCCTCTACGATACTTTTATGACACGTACGTACACAGGTATTATAATAATTGTAAAATGATTTTGTACCCTCCTAAATGCCGGAAATTTCCCGTTCCAATTGCTTACACGGGTTCAGGGACATCCAAAGTGTATTCTATTCGCGCCCGGAATAAATCGGTATTGAAACAGAGTCAGCCCGATTGAATTAATCCAACGATTGATAATTAACGTACAAAACAGCCGTTTTCCAAAGAAAATACGGATATCCCATTTTGAAATGATTTTGTACCATCCTAAATGTCCGAAATGTCCCGTTCCAATTGCATACACGGGTTAAGGGACATCCAAAATGTATTCTATTCGCGCCCCGAATAAACCAGTATTGAAACAGAGTCAGCCCAATGAAATTAATCCGACAATTAATAATTACGATACAAAAGACCGGTTTTCCAAAGAAAATACGGATGTCCCATTTTGAAATGATTTTGTACCATCCTAAATGTCCGAAATGGCCCGTTCCAATTGCATACACGGGTTAAGGGACATCCCAAGTGTATTCTATTTTGCGCCCCGAATAAATCAGTATTGAAACAGAGTCATCCCAATTAAATTAATCCAACGATTGATAATTACGAAACAAAACAGCCGTTTTCCAAAGAAAATACGGATATCCCATTTTGAAATGATTTTGTACCATCCTAAATGTCCGAAATGTCCCGTTCCAATTGCATACACGGGTTAAGGGACATCCAAAGTGTTTTCTATTTGCGCCCGGAATAAATCAGTATTGAAACAGAGTCATCCCAATTAAATTAATCAGACGATTGATAATTAACGTACAAAACATTCGTTTTCCAAAGAAAATACGGATATCCCATTTTGAAATGATTTTGTACCATCCTAAATGTCGGAAATGTCCCGTTCCAATTGCATACACGGGTTAAGGGACTCTCAAAGTGTATTCTATTCGCGCTTGGAATAAATCGGTATTGAAACAGAGTCAGCCCAATTAAATTAATCCGACGATTGATAATTAACGAACAAAACATTCGTTTTCCAAAGAAAATACGGGTATCCCATTTTGAAATGATTTTGTACCATCCTAAATGTCGGAAATGTCCCGTTCCAATTGCATACACGGGTTAAGGGACTCTCAAAGTGTATTCTATTCGCGCTTGGAATAAATCGGTATTGAAACAGAGTCAGCCCAATAAAATTAATCCGACGATTGATAATTAACGAACAAAACATTCGTTTTCCAAAGAAAATACGGATATCCCATTTTGAAATGATTTTGTACCATCCTAAATGTCCGAAATGTCCCGTTCCAATTACATACACGGGTTAAGGGACATCCAAAGTGTTTTCTATTTGCGCCCAAAATAAATCAGTATTGAAACAGAGTCAGCCCAATTAAATTAATCCGACGATTGATAATTAACGTACAAAACATTCGTCTTCGAAAGAAAATACGGATATCCCATTTTGAAATGATTTTGTACCATCCTAAATGTCCGAATTGTGCCGTTCCAATGGCATACAGGGGTTAAGGGACATCCAAAGTGTATTCTATTTGCGCCCCGAATAAATCGGTATTGAAACAGAGTCAGCCCAATTAAATTAATCCGACAATTGATAATTAACTTGCAAAACAGTCGTTTTCAAACGAAAATACGGGTATCCCATTTTGAAATGATTTTGTATTATCGTAAATGTCCGAAATGTCCCGTTCCAATTGCATACATGGGTTAAGGGACTCTCAAAGTGTATTCTATTTGCGCCCAAAATAAATCAGTATTGAAACAGAGTCAGCCCAATTAAATTAATCCGACGATTGATAATTAACGTACAAAACATTCGTCTTCGAAAGAAAATACGGATATCCCATTTTGAAATGATTTTGTACCATCCTAAATGTCCGAATTGTGCCGTTCCAATGGCATACACGGGTTAAGGGACATCCAAAGTGTATTCTATTTGCGCCCCGAATAAATCGGTATTGAAACAGAGTCAGCCCAATTAAATTAATCCGACGATTGATAATTAACTTGCAAAACAGTCGTTTTCAAACGAAAATACGGGTATCCCATTTTGAAATGATTTTGTATTATCGTAAATGTCCGAAATGTCCCGTTCCAATTGCATACATGGGTTAAGGGACTCTCAAAGTGTATTCTATTTGCGCCCCAATAAATCAGTATTTAAACAGAGTCAGCCCAATTAAATTAATCCGACGATTGATAATTAACTTACAAAACAGTCGTTTTCCAACGAAAATACGGGTATCCCATTTTGAAATGATTTTGTACCATCGTAAATGTCCGAAATGTCCCGTTCCAATTGCATACATGGGTTAAGGGACTCTCAAAGCGTATTCTATTTGCGCCCAGAATAAATCAGTATTGAAACAGAGTCAGCCCAATCAAATTAATCCGACGATTGATAATTACGATACAAAACAGCCGTTTTCCAACGAAAATACGGATATCCCATTTTGAAATGATTTTGTACCATCCTAAATGTCCGCAATGTCCCGTTCCAATTACACACACGGGTTAAGGGACATCCAAAATATATTCTATTTGCGCCCCGAATAAATCCGAACTGAAACAGTGTCAGCTCAATTAAATTAATCCGACGGTTGATAATTACGAAACAAATCAGCCGTTTTCCAAGGAAAATGCAGATATCCCATTTTGAAATGATTTCTGTACCATCCTAAATGTCCGAAATGTCCCGTTCCAATTACATACACGGGTTGAGGGACATCCAAAATGGATTCTATTCGCGCCCCGAATAAATTGGTATTGAAACTGAGTCAGCCCAGTTAAATTAATCCGACGATTGACAAATAATGTACAAAACAGCAGTTTTCCAAAGAAAATACGGATATCCCATTTTGAAATGATTTTGTACCATCCTAAATGTCTGTAATGTCCCGTTCCAATGGCGTACACGGGTTAAAGGACATCCAAAGTGTATTCTATTTGCGCCCCGAATAAATTGGTATTGAAACAGTGTCAACCCAGTTAAATTAATCCGACGATTGAATAACCTGGGCAGTTCTGCACAAACTATACCTTGTTCGGAAGCTTGTGATGAGGCCCACAAGCTGGCAAAAGGACAAGTCCTGAAACCCAGCAGTTGCGGAGAAAATTCAAGATTTAGCGCATCAATTCCAGTAGTACCCCTATGTGCAGTCAGTCTATACAGCAATGCCTGCAAGCGCCCGCGACACGAACTTCGTATATCGCGGTCTAAAGGTACCTTAACCTGGGCAGTTCTGTACAAACTATACCTTGTTCGGGAGGTTGTGATGACTCCAACAAGCTGGCAAAAGGACAGGTCCTGAAACACAGCAGTTGCGGAGAAAATTTAAGATTTAGCGCATCAATGCCAGTAGTACCCCTATGTGCAGTCAGTCTATACAGCAATACCTGCAAGCGCCCGCGACACGAACTTCGTATATCGCGGTTTAAAGGTACCTTTACCTATGCAGTTCTGCACAAACTATACCTTGTTCGGAAGCTTGTAATGAGGCCCACAAGCAAGCAAAAGAACAAGTCCTGAAACCCAGCAGTTGCGGAGAAAATTTAAGATTTAGCGCATCAATGCCAGTAGTACCCCTATGTGCAGTTAGTCTATACAGCAATGCCTGCAAGCGCCCGCGACACGAACTTCGTATATTGCGGCCTAACGGTACCTTAACCTGGGAAGTTCTGCACAAACTATACCTTGTTCGGAAGCTTGTGATAAGGCCAACAGGCTGGCAAAAGGACACGTCTTGAAACCAAGTGGTTGCGGAGACAATTCAAGATATAGCGCATCAATGCCAGTAGTACCCTATGTGCAGTTAGTCTAACAGCAATGCCTGCAAGCGCCCGCGACACGAACTTCGTATATCGCCGTCTAAAGGTACCTTAACCTGAGAAGTTCTGCACAAACTATACCTTGTTCGGAAGCTTATGATAAGGCCAACAAGCTGGCAAATAGGCACGTCTTGAAACCAAGTGGTTGAGGAGAAAATTTAAGATATAGCGCATCAATGCCAGTAGTACCCCTATGTGCAGTCAGTCTAACAGCAATGCCTGCAAGCGCCCGCGACACGAACTTCGTATATCGCGGTCTAAAGGTACCTTAACCTGGGAAGTTCTGCACCAACTATACCTTGTTCGGAAGCTTGTGATGAGGCCCACAAGCTGGCAAAAGGACAGGTCCTGAATCTGAGCAGTTGCGGAGAAAATTCAAGATTTAGCGCATCAATGCCAGTAGTACCCCTATGTGCAGTCAGTCAATACAGCAATACCCGCAAGCGCCCGCGACACGAACTTCGTATATAGCGGTCTAAAGGTACCTTTACCTGGGTATTTCTGCACAAACTATACCTTGTTCGGAGGCTTGTGATGAGGCCCACAAGCTGCAAAATGACAGGTCCTGAAACCCAGCAGTTGCGGAGAAAATTTAAGATTTAGCGCATCAATGCCAGTAGTACCCCTATGTGCAGTCAGTATATACAGCAATACCTGCAAG